TGTTGATGTGAAACCAGCAAATATGGAAAATCTAACAGGTGAGTTTCTCATATTTGTTACTGGACTAACTGGAGCTTCCTGCCTAGTTTTATGGCATTTTTAGTTACCCCTTGTATTTTATTTGATATGATGATTCCAACTAGATTCGTATTAAGGCTTAGCTTAGTTGAGTTCCTTTGTTTTTATTGAAAATATGATAGCCAATGAAAATGTAGTCTGTGCAGTGATTTTCTGGTTAATTGTCATTTTGAAATCATGTGGCATTTATATCTTAAAATGTTCTTTTATTGGAGGAGTTGCTCTAGTGCTAAGCCTTCTACTTCAGGTTTTTGCTGTGTTTGTAAGCGGGTGAATACACTCAGTGATAGCTCAGCTCTTGAGTTTGAGACCGCTTGTGGAGTTATTTGCACTTTTGGTCCCACGACTATAGTGTCACTAACAATTTTGATCTAAGACTTTTAAAATTTATAAAATTGATCCACTAACAATTTTGATCTAAGACTTTTAAAATTTATAAAATTGATCCACGACTATTATTTTCTTTGTGAATTTTGTCCTTCCGGTGCATTCTCCGTTCAATTTTAGCTAGAATTTTTTTTTATTACCTTTTTAACATGAATAATATTGTCTTTTTTCATCTCACCATCAATAAAAGTGTATTTTACCTTTTCATTCTTAGGAATAATATTCTCATGACTAAGTGACGATCCAAACAATGGAATAGGTCTATTCCAAAGAATGCTATTCTATGAACCAAACACGTCATTATAGTTTTAACCTCTAGAGTCTAAGCCGTAGGTTAAAAAAAAGTCTAATGAGAGTGCAATGATTAAAATGGTCTAATAATTGTTCTAGGAATAATACCATTTCTACTCCTTTTTTCTTTTTTTCAACTTAGCATGCCCTAATTAATTCACCTATAACATTTTATTCAAGTACTATTGTCTTTTTCCATCTCACCATCAGTAAAAGTGAATTTTACCCTTTCATCATTTTTATTTTTGTTTTTTAAATTCTTCTTCTATTTAACAATATTACAGAACTAATTACTTAATATGCATTTGGTGATTTATTTATTTTTTGTACCGGTCATAATTGAATAAACAACATGCAATGTTCACTTTCGCATCTCTATTGCCTATTAAGAGAAATAATTAATACTAAAACAAACGCCTCCTTCAATGTCCAAATGATATGGTTCAAACCCAACATTCACTTGAAATAATCATCGATGTGGGTCTTTTTTTTTACTTGGAAAAGTTTTACAAAATGATCAATTTGTCCTCTAATAATTTGACAAATTAAAATAAAATTTTAATGTTAACAAAATTATTAAATAATGAATTGAAACAACCATTTTCAACATAATTAAAGGGAAAAAGTTGTATAGAGTAATAATTTATGAATAGAGCTTACAATTTAGGGATAACTAATGGACTATAACAGCCATGTTTCCATTTTATTATAAGCATGTGTGTGTGTGTGTGTGTGTATATATATATATAGAGAGAGAGAGAGAGAGAGAGTTGCGCTATGGTGCACTTGTAGGTGAAAATAGAGGCACCTGATTAATGAATGTTAACAAGACAAAATTACATGCAAGTAAAATGTATTACAAATGCATATAAAATGTATTATATGTGCAAGTAAAATTTACACGGAGCATCAATACTAAGCGCACTTGATGTTATAACTAGGTGTATCTATAGTTATAAGTAGTTGCACCTAGGTGCACGAATGTTAATAAGGTAAAATTTGTTGCACTTGTAAGTGAAAATAGGTGCACTTGTAAGTGATTTTACTTGCACTTTTTACCTGCAAAGATGCACCAACTACTTGCACTTATAACATATTTACTTGCACCAAAGTTCGAGTTATTTATAAAAATGCCACCGCGTCATTTTTTTTAAATTACATATGATTTGTTAATCTAGATACATGGATGGTTAGCATGCATTTGCATTTCTCTCCTGGGCGCCTATTCGCACAGGAGTGCGACCCTATACATATAGCTTTAATTTATTGATTTCAATAATTTATAACTTCGTTTAAAATATTAACTTCGGTATTGACTCTTTGTGCTTCAGTAAGTTGAGAAAGTAATTATGAACAGATACTACATTGTAACATAATTAATACTAAAAAAAACAAAAATTCAGATATTTACTAACAAAATAATGCATATTTTTTTCAAATTAAATGCTACTAAATAACTTTTTAATTTTCAACTTACACTTGGTATTACTATATTGAGCATTTTTTTTGAAGGTCAACCAATGAGTTGTATTTATAGATAAACTGAAATAGAGTCGGGTGGGACATCATCCCAATACATTGTCGTAGGAAGCGTAAAGGCTAAAGTAGCTAAAGTATGAGCTAACAAGTTTTGTAATCTGCATCGTAAACAAAGGTGGGATCGTTTTGTTGGCTTTCCCTTGCTATCTGCATCGTTGAACTCCTGATCTGCATAAAGTTTGGGCATGGTATACTCTCTTGCATAAGCTTTTTTTTTTTTTTTTCCTAAGATGTATCCAATCAAATATATATCCATGAATACCAATCTGCATCATCTCTTTTGCTAAGCTGTATCCAATCAAATATGTCCATTTTCGCTTAATACAAGTGAAACCGTTTTTCATTTTCCTCCTGATCCACGTTTCAGGATTGTTTCACGAGCCGATGCCTAAATTGTTAGTTATATTCTGGACATCCGCGGGGGTTGGCTTTATCATATTCTTATCAGCATGGTCATGGCAATTGATGAAGAGAAAGCGGCAATGAGGGTTTTGGCACGTCGGTCCCAAATTCTTTGATTTATTTCTGGTGCTTCAGATTAACTCTGTGTTGTAAATGTATTGTGTTGTGTGGTTAGAGATGAGGATGTAGAGAGAAGTCTATTCTTTATTTGTAGGTGCCTTCTGAGATGCAATTTTGTTGGCTCTCAAAGGCATAATCTTTGTTGTTGGGAATGTCATATTGTTAGCACTCTAATTTCTTCAATATCAGTTCTATTTTATTTTTTTTGGTGTCAACTACATATTGTGGTGCGGGTCTTTCTCGGCACAGAAGCTGGCCCAAAGGGAATCATCACTTGTGGGAATCGAACCCGGGTTATCTCGGAATTCTCCCCTACAAAGAGAGCTCATTTGCCACTTGAGGTACCCTGTTAGGTTAATATGAGTTCTATTTGCTTCTTCTTTTCAATATCTAATTTCTCTTATTCATAACACGTTTGGTTCACGGAATGAATTTTGAAATGTTATTCCATAAGGAATGGAATAGGCAAAGAATAGAATAGGAATTGTATTTTATTATTTGGTTCGCGGAAGGAATAGACTTTAGTAATTATATTGCAGTGTTTGGTTGATTTAAGGAATAGAAATGAAATATATTTTAAATGACATAAATACCCTTATAAAAATATGTGATGGTGGCGATGGTGGTGGTGGTGGTGGCGATGGTGGTGGTGGTGGTGGCGGCGATGGTGGTGATGGTGGTGGTGGCGGCGATGGTGGTGATGGTGGTGGCGGTGGTGGTGGTGCTGCTGGGGTGGGGGCGACGGTGGTGGTGGTGACGGTGACGACTGTGGCAGTGGTGGTGGGGGCGGCGACAGTTGTGGTGGTGGTGGTGCTGGGGTGGTAGTGGTGGTGGTAACGGTGGCAGTGGTGGGGGCGACGACAGTTGTGGCGGTGATGGTGGTGGTGGCGACGACGGTGGTGAAATAGGATAAATTTATATATAGGATAGAAAAAATTAGGTTAAAGAAAGGGATAAAAAAGAAAATAGATTCTAAAATCTATTCCTGAGCGTTCAGTAATAGGCTAATACCAGGGGCCCTAGTAATAGCTATTACCTTATTTGAGGTAATATGCTATTACCAGGAATATTATTCCTGGTAATAGAAATGGTTACCAAACAAAGGAATAGGTCTATTACTGGGAATGCTATGCCATTCACGGCCTATTCCGTGAACCAAACTGGCCATCAGTTATTCACTAACAACATGTTTGGTTCGAGATAAATTAGGAATAAAATACTATTTTTGAGAATAAAAAACTCTACTTTGTTTTGTTTTCGGAGAATGTGTCATTTTGACTATTCAATTTCTATTGATGATCTCTTTGAAAGTTCTAACGCGATTAGTCTTATTTATTCAATTACTCGTTCACATCCTTATGCGAACGAAAATAAATTTTATTATTTTTATTGTTATTGTATTTTATTAATAACCTCCAAATCTATGTTCATTTCCTAGTGCAACCTAGAAAATCTATGTTCCTATAAAAGTCTAAGACTTCTAAGTCTTTGGTCATGTCTCCTGTTGTCTCTATCACCCCTTAGTTATTTCCACTGTTTACTCCCATTTTGTCACTTTTTTCTAATATTCTTGTCTTTGACTCAAGAATTCATTGTTATTATCCACAAAATTTTAGTTTTTTTTTTTTTTTTTTTTTTTTTTTTTTTTTTTTTTTTGGTGTGGAAATAGTATCCATTATTCTTCATTTTCCAAGATGATTCATAGGAAAAGAATCTATTGTATGTAGCATATAACTATGTAACCATCTACCTTGGACTTAACACTCCAATTTTATTTTAAACTTCCCCACACAAATAGCTTTCCCTTATTTCTTTACTCTCTTGCCCAAGACAAAATTTTCCTCGCTTCCAGCCCCCCCACATTCTGCCCTAACAGGAGAGTAGAGGGATAAATCACGATAATTCAGTGGTCCACTCTATACCTGCTGGTGGGCAAAAAGCGTGACACACTCTTATTACAAAATAAAATGTTTGCATGACCTGGCTCTGATACTTTGTTAGGATCAAATGCTTACTATTACGTCAAAAATTATAGTTCATAGCGAAAGCACAACTTTATTGCTTATATCGCGACATTTTCGAAAGGCAAGATTCTGGACTTGACCCTTTAGGCGGGGGCATTTCACCGGCCTCTGCCCAACAGATGTGATTCAAATGGGGGAGAAAATGACTAATCTTCACCTTTTTATTATTTTATTATCATCAATAATATTCTAATAAATACATAATTTCACCCAAATTTTCCTCTTATACATACAACAATGTATATGTACCAATACCTTTATGTACTAACTGCATACTTTTTCTTTTTCTTTTTTAGTTCTTCTACTTCCACACAGATTACATCTCTTATTTACTGATTCTGTTCTTTGCTGCTGCTGCCATTTCATGCATTTTGAGGTTAAATTTCAGCCCCAAAATGAATCAGAATGGCAACTGGAATATGCAAATAAGTCCATTTAGATCATGTTTCTGTCAGGGTGGAAATGGCAGCTTTCTCTTCCAACTAGTCCTTCCTCGAACGATCTCTTTGCTCTTCCCCTCCTCGCCTTCTGTTTGCAGCAGATGCGTGTAGCTAAACGCCCCTCGGGTTAAGGACTCGAGCAGTCCATTGCCCTGAAGAATCCCCGATGCCAATGAGAATCCGTTTAGCAGGCTTATGTTGTTGTTGTTGGAAAGTGCATTCTCGTTTGGCTCGCATAGGGATTGAACGACGTCTGAGCTTCCACATTCTCGCCTGTATTCGAGTATGATGTTCGATAGCTGATGAGCCTCCAAGTTTTGGTCAGGGATTGTCTGGGAAAAACAGGAAAAAAAAATGGGTATTTAAGGTTTGGTTGGACTAATGTTTGATGAAGAACAACATTGGGATTACTTTGGTTTTCTGTCAGTTTTTACCTCGAGCATCCATCGAACATATTTTACGTTGTTTACGTGGTGGTTCATGTCCAGATCACTTCTTTTTGGCTGAAAAAACCAGACAGGGAAGTAGAGTTAACTCTTTTGAGGTTCGTTGGGGACAGAACTGTGTTCTACAGTTCTGTCTCGACTAAAAGCTTAAGCTGATAGTTAAAATGCACGTTTATTATTTATATGAGGAAATGAGGGATGGATCACCTTAAGGTCAGAGATAACAAACGTCGCGTTGTTATCCAACTTGTCTATCTTGACGGGATTCTCTTCTGGTATTGCCTGTTTCTCGATGAACCATGGTGAGATCTCGGCCCTCACCTCGTCTGGCATTTTCGAGAGCCGCCTCGTTTGTTGGTTCATCATCACCCATGTACTGCCCCCATAGAACCAAGATTTTCATCATGTTATTGCAAGAAGTAAACATATGACAGACAGTTTTCCTAGGATGTTTAGCTCTGGTACCAAATTTAAGGATCTGTTCTGTCTCGACTAAAAGTTTAAGCTGATTGTGAAACTACAGGGTTTACCTGGTGGCCCGGGCAAATACGAGCCCTGTGGCTTTGCTTGTTAGCAGCCAGTCTCTCCTCATCCCGTTTTTCCCTGATGCTCCAACCCATGTGTTTATCTCCATCACTTCACCCCTGAGAGAACGTTTAAGGTCATGGGTTAGACTAGCTAATTGATTGGATTCAGTCTGGTTTAGAAGTTCGAGTTATTACCAGATTGGATAATTATCGACTTGAACTTGCATTCTTGAAACAACCCAGATGAGATTGTTCTTCATCATGCCATGTGTGGCTCCAAATCCATCACTTAGTAGCCCAGACATCCACACATGATTCAATGCTGTTTCCTGCACATCCCCAAACATATCTTATAATGTCCTAAAATTCATGTTTTTTTTTTCTCAAAAAAACAGTTAATTACCTGAAGTAAGTTAAGGATGGTTTCAATGGTTGCAGTTTTATCAGGACCAACTTCATATGACCTGATCACAACTGTCTGCCTGTACCCAACGCCTCCCTCGACGATAAGCCCTTGGCGAAAGGGATCAACGAGCTGCTTCTTCGTGGGTATATTCTGTCGAATCTCCCCGGGGTGGAGAGGCGTAGTTGTCGTGGTGGCAGCTGCCACCGCGTTGTTTTGGCTCAGAACCTCAACCTTTTTCGAGCCCGGAAATGCAGCAGAAGAATGGCCATTTATCTTCTTCACCCCAATCACATTATGGTGTTTAGGCTCTTCTTTTGGTGAGATTGAACATTTTATGGTGAAACTTGGTACATAGGAGAAGGTGGACATTTCTTTCTTCTCCCTTTGAATCCTTATTTTGAGTGAAGATTTTAAGAATGAGGTTGTAGGGGTGTTCATAGTACTTATAGAGGTGTTATATATTGGCAGATCAGAAGGACAAAAGGAGGTTTTTTTTTTTTTTTTTTTTTTTTTTTTTTTTTTTTTTTTTTTTTTTTTTTTTTTGCATTTTGATGAGGATTTTTAGCATTTTGCAGAGGTAGACAAGAGGAGACTTTGTTGTTTTTTTGGACATATCAAAGTGGGAATGTACAAATTTGATGGGAAATTTCTTAGCATTAATCGGATCATTTTGGATGGGTACAAGACAATATAAATTCCCCTTTTAGCACTTTTTTGGTGTGTGAAACAAAGTTGCAGAAAGAGAGTATCTTCTTTAAAATATAGGCAGTATATATTTTTTAATATGACCAGATAAAAATAGTTACCGATTATAAATTTTATGGACAAGTCATTCTATCATGTCTATAAAGATCGAGAAGACAGTGAGCAAGCTTAAACCCACAACCTCCCATATAGAAGTTCAACTTGGTATCATTAGATCACAAGGTCCTTGGTTGTGCATTTTATTCTTGTAAATCCAATTATAATTTTTAAAAAGTTATACTATATATATATATATATATATATATATATATATATATATGTGTGTGTGTGTGTGTGTGTGTGTGTGTGTGTGTGTGTGTGTGTGTGTGTTTTTTTTTTTAAGGTTAATGTTACTTACCTAACAAATTGTCATAAAATATGTTTTATGTAATGAATGGAGATCAATCAATTAATGAGACTTGTTTCATTTAGTACATTTAGTTAAATAGTGTTATTTCTCACTAACATCAACGGTGCATTTAAAAGAGCAACGGGCATAATTAGATTTCAATATTCTCATACCAAAAGATAACGAGTTCTATTCTTGTCGACACCTTCTTGGTCGAACTCGTTGTAAGAAGTTGTATAAAATTTATGTGCACAACAAGACATAATACATTAATTTTATTATGATGTCATGGGATAAAACCATATTTAATATGTCATTATTTAAAAAAAAAAAAGACTATATGAAAATAAATATATTATTCTAAATTCATACAATTTTTAAGTAATTAGTGAACGAGGGAGGTTTTCTCATTTTTTATTTTTTATTTTTTATTTTTTATTTTTTAATTCCTGATGGTCACAAGAGCCAAAAGCTCTTTTTCCAATCTGCAAAACCAAGAACAACCATCACCATCACCTTCTTAAAATCCCCAAAGACATTTGTCTGATCTGCTGCCAATGCTAAAATGGAGTTTTTGTGAATTTTTTTTTTTATATATATACCATCATTACGAAAATTCAAATTTAATTTGAATTACGCTTCCAAAAATTTGACTCATACTATAAAAAGAAAAAGTGTTTAATTAAAACTCTTTAACATGATGCATTACTACAATGAAATTAACAGTTCATTTATGAATAGTCTTGTATTGGTTGAAATTTTTTGACAATTAATTTTAAATTTTTATTCGCTATTACTCAAAATATTTATAACACGTTACTTATAACGTAATGCTATAATTTAAAAATAATAAGAATATATATACAATAATAGTTCAACATGGACAAATAATAAGACCAAATTAAATATAACAATACCACAATAATAATTGTAAAACTTTTGTAGTAGTATTATTATATTGTATATTTGATAGGATGAAATAGTCAAATAGATATGATGCATCCATGCCCAATCTAAAAAAAAATGTGTGTAGCCCATGATTTTCACTGTCGAATACAGTGACTAATCTCTTTGCTGAATTGTAGGTACCTCTATTGGGTGAGACAATTGGCCTGGAATATGATTCTTGTATTAAAAGCTCATCATGAGTTCGATTCTTACCAATACTCTCTCAATCGAACTTGTTACACATAGTCTTTCTAGTGCAGCTTACCTTTCTTGTGTGATTTGTAAGTTATTACAAGAGTAAAGTTTATCTAATATACACCCTCAAGTGACCGCGAATTTCAGTCGTAACACCCCCTCCCCCCACACTAAAAGAAAAGGAAAAAAAAAAAAACATAGTCTATACTGTGGCTCTCAAAACTGTAAATAAAAATTTTTTTTTAAAAAAAGTCAAATTCATCTCTGTGTGTATATACACACACCAAGTGATTAGTTAATGACTTGTTTCTCAATTAACAATTAGTGAATAATAAATTGATTAACAAATAGTAAATTATGTTAGCAATTTTGATCAGTTAATTGCATTAAATGTTTATCATTTGTGAGATGTGTGTATAGTTTTTTTGTTTTTTTGTTTTTTTTTTAAACTGATTTTTTTCTTCTCTCAAAATGTTCAATTCCCAACTTTAAGGACCCCACATCCCGACTAATAGAGCATTTGAGAGGATGTAATTTACGGTGACATGATGGCTCAGCAGACAGAGCCGTCAAATGTCGGTCCACACAAGGGATCTGCTCACTTTGAACATAAACCCATACTGCCGCTGCCGATGTTTGAACATTAGTCTCTTCTTCCAAATACTGCCTACTGAATCAATGAGTTAAGCCCGTGCGGACAACCCCGTTAATTTTGGAGAGAATTTTTAATTAATAAATGTTTGCTAAAGTGGTCAACCCCGGTAATTTTTTTACTTTTAATATTTTTATTCTGTTAAACCTCTATTTACCAAACAAACCTAATATATTATATTATGAGATGCCAATAGATAGCATATTGAGCTTGTCAAATAAGGTTCGGCCATGGTATCATTAAGCAATGTTTTCCTTTTTATTTTTATCTTTTTTAATACTCACAAATCACAATCATGATTTTTTTTTTTTAAGTTAATTCTACTTTTAATCCTACAACTTCAATATCATTTTTGCATTTAACCTATAATTATTAGTTTGACCATATATCATCCTCAATATTTCTATCTTTGTCCATTTTGAGAGTCTCCATAAAGGTTCCTTTGACTATGTCATAATTTAATTTAGTCCTCAGTTTAGAATAGTAAGGGACTAAACTAAGATCATGTTTGGTAACATAATTAGCTTATCAGCTAATTTTGTTTATTTGACAATTATTAGCTGTTTGACTTGGTTAAACAACGAATATAAGTATTTGATTAATTAATTAGCTTTTTGTAACAGCTTATTGTTTCAAGATGTTAAAATTTAAAAAGTTGTTCAAAACAACTTTTTTGATCAGCCTTTTGGGAAAGTCATTTTACATGTAATCAGCTATATATTAGCTAACAACTAATTTACCAAACATCTTTCTACAATGAGCTAATATTATCAACTAGTCAAAGACAATAACCCAATCAGCTAACAGTTACTCTGTATTTGCCAAACATGTACCCCCTAGATCAATTTTGCATAGTCAAGTGACCATTTTAAATGAATTGATAATGAATTAGGCCATATCGTCAAATTGTTTTGGGTATTAATACGCTCATTTTCATCCTTCACTTTTGATCCCACAATTAGTCGATAACAATCAATTTGACCCGATTTCATCATCTATGACTTTATTGTCTCTGCCAATTCTCATCCCCGGTTTAACCTAGGTCAAACCCAAGAACAATATAGTAAATTCTAAATGTGCAATATAATACATGCATTTGGTGTATATAAAAGGAGTTAGATGGTCAAAGGTAGTTACCTTGTTCTTTGGCAACTGCCCAGCACACCCTATTCCGTTAGGAGTAGTTATAGAAGCACAGAAACCGTGACCCATTTCGTACTGCAACTGCTTGAGTGACTTAACAGCAAAGGGATTTGGTATATATAAGATACTGGAAGTAGATTTGATTGTGTACCATCAAAGATACACCTATTAAAGGGTCGTCGGGACTCACTAAAGCTCGTTATTTGACATTACAGACTGAAAAATTAACTAGTCTGACACATCAACAATAATCAGTTAAACAAGTCAATTTTGATTTAATTGTATAATTTTGAATTGTTTACATAATCGCGTGTAGTTTAGTGGTCTATTTGAGCATTATTCCTTAAAAAATTTCTCTCATTACTCAAATTTTCTTTGATTATTTTTTTGTGTCCAGAGAAATTCACAACCATTATCCAACTCATACTCTCATGTAATAGCTCGCAAACCACACGAGAGGTAAATTACATTAGGAAAATCATGTGCAACGAGCTCGACTGGGAGGGCGTTTAATTATTCTAAATATAATAATTTTTAATTTTTAACATTAAAAAAAAAAAAAAAAAAAAGGTTTTTCATTGATGGAAGTTCCTTTCTTCATACCCTGGATGGGTCCTGAAACTGTTGTCCTTTACTTATTGGCACATATTAGTAATTGACATTTTTCAAGCAAAAAGGCAGCTAGGTTTAACTTTAGTCTATAAACTTCTTAAATCCCAAAATTTTGGTTTTGGCATCGATTTGTACAGTGCAAATGAGTTTCATAGTTGATATACATTTTGTAGCTACCAACTAGGCTTCTTCACTCCAATTTGAAAAGGTCCATGAAACCTGATATGCAAACTTGCAAAGAAAGGAATACATGTTGAGATTTCACAACAATTGAAGCAATAATTTAAGGTTATTGTTAATTTTGTAAAATATTGTAGAAGTTTCGTAGAAATGGGAAATTTTAAGGTGTCAATCAGCACCAAGTATAATCGAGAAAACATGTATGATTGTACGGTTGTACTGAGTCAATTGTTATATCATGGATCAGGGTCCATCTTACATTGTGAACCCTAATCCAAAATGACAGTCAGGTTATGTATATGCAGTTAACATGTTATGTGTCTACAGATTATGTGCAAACACATAATGTGTTCACTGCATGCACATAAATTGCTCCTAAATGACCATTTAAATGTGGCACATGTGATTATTGTTAGAATAATACTACACAATCGTCATATATCTTCTATCTAATCTTTCCCTCACGATATGGCATTATCTAATTAGTAACTAAATTTTAATTTTAATTAGTTATGAGATCGGCTAATTCATGAACACCCAAAAAGAGAAAGAGTAGAGGGGAAATTCATTATGAAAATAAAGCATTTTCCGTATTTTTATTGTTGTTATTTTCCTACTTCACTCCATATCATTTACTACAAGTTAATAATAGTATAAAGAAAAAGGCTTGGAAATAGAGATGGGTTATATTATACAAGTACAATGCATCAGATTTTCACAAAGGGGTGGTGGCGCAGTTGGCTAGCGCGTAGGTCTCATAGCTTACAGTGATCCTGAGGTCGAGAGTTCGAGCCTCTCTCACCCCATACATTTTTTCCCAAGATCGGAAATAAGGATGGGTAAGAGAAGTTTTGTATATTAAGCTTTACAAATAAAAATGCACACGAAGGGGTGGTGGCGCAGTTGGCTAGCGCGTAGGTCTCATAGCTTAGAGTTATCCTGAGGTCGAGAGTTCGAGCCTCTCTCACCCCAATGCGTTTTTCTGATTACATATCTTATCATACGCTTCGACATCACATTATAATCTATCATCCTATTTTCTATCTAACCCTTTTCTGGGTGTTTTACTCTCTCATTCTTACACATTATATATATTATAAATGACAAAATAAAAAAATTCTTGAATTATAAAATATAATTTTATAAATTAAAATTCATATTTGAAATTGCTTACGAAACAAATTAACATTTAATTACATACAAAATTTTAAATAATAAATATAACAACAATTAATACAATTAAAAAATTTAAAAATAAATTAAAACCAAAATATGAAAACAAAATTTTAAAAATATACTCGGTAATTTTATAAAAATATAATAATAATAAATTGTAACAAACAACAGGTCAACAGCCATGAGGCTACAAATAGCAACGGTGGGCTGTCCCCCACCCCTACAAGTGAATTGTGACGCTTGAGCACCATGCTAACGTGCAGCAGAACATACTCTGCGAAGACAAAGTTATCTCCATAGAGTATACTTCCCTCCCTTCCAATTGTTTATCTCCCTCTCTTCCTATTTAATCTCCTCCATTGAAGATGCCCTAGTAAATTCTAATATTTTTTGCTTCTATTTGTTGTATAATAATAATAATAATAATAATAATAATAATAATAAACATGCAAATTTTTCTGTTTACGTGTCAAAGAACAATTGGCCAGCCACGAAAACCCACTAATTTTGTCAATTCATGGAAAATGCATACACATATATTGCTAAACCGAGGAGAATGCAGAAGGATGGTGCTTGAGAAATGAGATACAAGACTTCTGATCATCTTAAGAGAGTGTTTGGAATGGTGCGCCAAAAATGCTGATGACAAGGTTGTGATTAGATTAATTTATGGAGAATAACCTGCAACAAGAGGTAAACAAGGCATAAGACACCCAGCCCAGAACCTGGGCTTCATCACACCAAATAAAAGAGGAAAACATTTCATCTATTAAGTTTCAAATTCCACACTTTTCATGAAATATTCAATATCTGAACCGAATTTATATCTGAATATAACATAATTAAAAATATATGAACCAAATTTATATCTAAATATAACATAATTAAAAATATCTGAACCAATAACCTATTGAGTTTGCTATTATAATTTATAATCAGGAAAACAAAATGAAAATGCTATTATAATCTAGAAAACAAAGGCCACATTTGGTAACATAGTTAGTTTATCAACCAATTTTGACTTATTTGACCACTATTAGTTGTTTGACTTGGTTAAACAATCAATATTGAGTATTTGATTAGTTAACTTTTTGTAACTTATTGCTCCAAAATGCTAAAATTAAAAAAGCTGCTCTTTTGAGAAAGTCATTTTGCATGTAATCAGCTAACAGCTAATTTACCAAACACTTTTCTATAATCAACTAATGCTATCAACTAATCAATCCCACTAACCCATAATCAGCTAACATCTATTTACCAAACCCTCCAAAAATGAAAATAAAGCATGGACAAATTTTAAACAAAAAATATAATTCTTGCTCAATGTGCATACCGGACAACAGCCCCAAGATTTCAGTCCTTGTTGAAGTTCATGCAGTGATATTAGAAGCTGTACTGGCCTGAATTCAATAGACTGGTTGTGGCCTCTATTCTCCACGAAGGAGATTAGCTCACGCTGCAAAAGGTGCTCAAATGCCTTTATACAGAAAACAAAATGGGTATTAGACTATTAATCTATTAGTACATACCATTATACCAATATTTCAATTTTTAAGTTTTAGCACACTCAAGGATGTAGAGCATACCCGGAGGCAAACATCCCTTGCATAATAATCACTTGTTTTGAAAGAATCGTGAACAATTTTGTACTCTGCAAGACATGACGGCTTGATAAGCAGAAGAAAAACAGGGAACCCGGTATATAACTATACGGATGGAATTTTCACTGTGGCAAACCTTTCATTATAGAGTTGAAGTTGCATGTTTCTTGCTCGTTGGCTTCCAACCTTCTCAGGCAAACAAGAATATATAGCTCCAAAATAGAGCAATCTGTATTGCAAGTTAAATTTGCACTGCTTTACCTCAAAACATTTATGCTGTGTTTGGATGTGTAAAGTGGGAGGAAAGAAAATGGGAGATAAAATAGGAGGGAGAGTAAAATATGATCCATTATATTCTATAGAATTAACATTTAGGTGGTAAAAGAATGTAAAACAAAATATTTTTTTATCAAATGAAAACAGTTGGAGCAAGGAAACAGTGAATGGTAAAATATCGCTTACCTTTCAGACATTCCAACTTGGGTTGCCTTTGAGTATTTGAGAGTGCAGTTCTAAAGTTATCAAGTGATAGGAAACCAGATTTCATATCCATTTGACACACAGCAGAGAACCTAATGTCAAGAAAAGTGTGAGGATTTTCAATTAAATAAGAAAAAGCATCTATCAACAAATTTTGCTCTTCAAAAACAGATGTCAACTTACAGGAATCTTAAAAGATGGTTGAAAGTTGAATCATAGGTACACAATGACTCAACGATGTCTTTGAATTTGTCATCTGATAAAATACTCTGGATAATATCAAGGATTATGTAACATGTTACAGAACTGGAAGAAAACAAAAATGTAATTGATTTCATTTTATATCCTATGAAAGTTTAATTTGAAACCAAATGAGAACAAGATAGTAGAGTCTGAACAATCAAGGAATGAATTGTAAGGTATCAGAAGATGAAATATGAGTTTTAAACAATTTCTCCCCTAACAGACGGGCATTAAAGCAGGATATTAGGCCTTCACTCAATCTTCCAGTGGATGGACGGACAATCACATGATGACCATCCAAAATGAAACGAAAAACCTGAAGTTCTATTTATCTTCCAAAGATAAAGATGATCAACTAATGAAAATGTGTACATGGTAAAAACGCACACATTTTCTAAATATAACTAACAAAAATGAAGAGAGAGGATACAAGAAGCTTGGTATTGAAAGCATCTACATATTTAGTAGGAAGGCCGAAGTCCTTTGGCAACAGCAAAATGTGCTTGAGAATTCTGATCAACCAAATTACAAATGTCAAAACAACAGCTTATTGAGCAAGAAGTCTTATAAACTAAGCTATGAAGTGAAGAGTTACCGTTCCAAATCTTCCTTTGATGGAGGTAGAAATATCAGCTTCCTATGTGAGAAACGAGACCTTACTCTTTTCTCTAAAAGTTGATCAGCATCCTATAAGGTGCATAGAAATTATTTCAGCATCAATATAATACATCAAAGGAAGACCAGGTGCCTAACAATTTTTAATTCCATCAACTAAGCCTTGTCCACACTGACCTAAACAGTTCTGCAAAAACTCTCATGTCATTTATTAGCCTTACTTCTCACACCTAAACGGCTAAACCAATCATCTTTAAGTCTCACATTGATTATATTATTTAGACATTTGACAATAACATATAATAGAGCCTCTTGAACTGCTAACCTCTACATGTCTGAAGTATTTTTTAAACAAAATGGACATCATATTTGAATTACTATTGTTTTATTCTTTAAAAAAATGATATCCTACTTTGCAGGTTTTCAAACATAGATAATCAATTTTTTTTGTGTGTGTTTCTATTATTTTAAATTAAATTTTAAACAAGGATTACTAAAGTTTTATATGCATACAGGCTCACGGTTCTATTTTATTTTCAATTCCTTATACCGAACACACCATATGTTTTGCACAGCCCAAAGCATGTATCAAATATATGGATATTTAAAGATTAATTTAATTTTTTTAAAAAAAAAATTCTATTGAATGGTGATTTCAGCAGTCTACAAATAGTATTCCATAATGTAGAAATTACTAAAGGTGTTGCTCATGAGCACATGCAAACACTTCTACAATATCTTAATTTATTTTCATAAGCAACAATAAACTTTAAAAATGAGCATGAGCAATCAAGATTGCTCATGTCACAATCTCTTAAAGACAGTGACAAGATTCTGTACATAAGAAATTGCTTCTACAAGTGAATAATCAAAACAGAGCAAACATTACATATATAATTTTTTTTAAAAAAGCAGAAACCGAAAGGTAACATACCAACCGGCAACTGACACCAATAACCACAGCTTGTGATGTCACAGATTGCATTGCATCTAGCAGACTATAGAGCAACCGTTGTTTACCCTGAAAAGAAGGAAAGCCAAATAAGCATCTGGTATGGAAAATTTTAACTTCAATACAGAATGCTTTTATCTGCCATTTTTCTGCTTGTGAACTTACCTGTGTAAAAAGATCAAACTCATCCAGTACAAAGATAACTGTTTTATGAGCTAATCCACACTCCCTATAAAAAGCATCACATAAGTACATGCAACAGGGGGGGAAGTTAAAAACTAGAGATATTCTTATCTAAAAACATTCACAGATTAAAAGGATCCCGCTCTCTTTCATGACAAGAGAAAAAGATTGTTAATTACACATGCAAAGACATACCTTAGCATAGCTATCAAGAATTGAGAGTTATCATCAAATGATGCCTGTAACATTTTTTTGTTTTTCATTACTGATGTATTGAGTGAGAGGATTAGAAGAAGGAGGAGGAGGAGAAAAACAAAAACAATAGAAGGTATCCATTACCATTTTTGAGAAAACCAGCTGATGCTCCGAACATAATTGCCTCGTGATCTCCTGTATGATGAAATGATTATATCAAGCCAAGGAGAGAGATGTAGTACTTTGGTCATTTAGGAGAGAATACGCAAAGCTGCATTACTACAACTTGGCTCAACAAGAAGAACTACTTAAAGTTAGAAATTCTAGCATGCTACATCTACTTAACCACTAGTACAAAGAAATCATTCAAGTTATGCCTCGCACGCCTTTTAGTCAAAATAAGTCCTGCATCCAAGAAGGCAAGAGCCTAGTGCACTAGGCGTCTACCTTCATGCTTCATGAAGTTATAAACAAGCACCACGAGAAGTCAGGAGTTCAAATAAAAATGAGGTAAAGATCAGTTTCAATCTTTGCTGAGACAAAATGGAAAGTTCAATTGAAACTTCTAGCATGCTGTACAACAATACCCCTTGGGGAATTTAAGGAAATTCTAAGCTAGTTTTCTCTCAATTTTGGATTCATCCAATGGTCCTTGCTTGCATGAATTTCCAGAAATAACCTTGAAATATCTTCACAAAATTATGCTGTACAGAGTGTTAAAAGCTCCCTAAATACAAAATGATATTGACTACATATAAATTTTTTCCCTTGATAAAATGAAGGAAGAAAGAGAGCTAGGAGATACATTGGGGTTAAAAGAAGAAAGAGATTACAATGCTTATTTCATTTGTTTCCTTCCATTTTCAAAAAAAGGTTAAGAAAAATGCATATCCAGAATAAATTGGAAATAGAGCAGTCAAAATGTCGACCAGTATAGTAAGAATTAGAGGAGAGTGGTGAAGAGAAATGCAATATGATGGATGAAAGTAAAGTTGACAATTCAAATACCATTTTGGTATTTAAACACATAAGTCCTGTCATTAAGTGATTCTTAACATATTTTGGTATTTAAACACATATTTCCTGTCATTAAAGTAATTCTTAACATACTTATAAAAACTGGCCTACATTTATCTCATACAAGCACAAAGACATAGCAACCTTAAATGCTTGGCAACCTTTCATATAATTTTGGTTCTTACTTTATCTTCACCAGACCATATCTTCGTGTCTTAATTTTCTAGAAAGAAATGCCACCAGATCACCAGTTTGCTAAGCTACATTTACATATTCAGATTTTGTATCTACACACCTTCAGAGGCAAACTATCTGTAGTAACTCTATCAAGGATGTCTGGTTTTGTTGGAACTGGATAAAGAAATGATTGATTTTTTCTACCTACAGTTTTAATTTTTGTCAATTTGACTCAATAGCCAATTCAAGTAACCATTTTTTTGAACCTATTATTTCAAGGTTGAAAGTAAGATTACACAAAGGTTTTGGTGAATTAAATAGCAGTACCATTACAAACTGAGGTTTGCAAGTCAGCTACTACTAAAAGATAAACCCACTCTGGACTAACCAATATGGACTACTCATATGCCTTTCAATCTAGTCATTCAAAAATAGAATTCACTTCCATGCAGTTGAAGCTGTCAAGTCCTACCTAAAGTACTTACAATTTATAATCCAAAATAAATTTGCTCACATCAGAACCTTTGACATGCAAAACAAAACTCATAAGTAAAAACTAATAAATAAAAGAAAACAAAAACAAAATAAGAAAGGGAATGGGATGCCAGACCTTTAAGGCACAATTGTCATCACTGTGCAACAGCCCATTGAGCTTAATCTGAAACCACGGCAACTTTAATTATCATTGGAAATATTTCACACATTTAGAAAAGCAACTGTCCTTTCAATATGCAAAAGAATTCACTTTTGGCATTTTCTTTCAGATATTCATTTTAATAATAGCAAATGACTATTAAACCACCCAGACATTAACTTATTTGAAATCAGAATAGCCAATGATACAAAATCAGTACCACGGAGATCATATCTGGAAACTCCTTAAGTAAAGCCTCGAGAACAAGCTCCAAAACCTTTAGACAAAAAAATAAATAAAATAAGGTAAATAGATTGGATAAATAGACACTGCAGTTAATAATAACTCAAAGTTTTTTCCGGGGTCAGTAACTAAGGCCTTACCGCATTTTTTCCGCAACCACGCGGACCAAGAAGCAAAACAGAATTGTTACAAGCTTCGGTGACAGAGCTAGATACTATATACTTCAATTTGCTGAAAAATAAATTGGTGTTAAAGGTAAAAAAATCTGATTTGTTCAAAATGAATTTTTTCCCCTTTGGCAAGTGAAAGATGGGATATCTGGAGCACCTGTAATTGCTGTCAGGGGAGTCGGAAAAAAGAGTGAAGATGAAATTCGGATTGCATATACGGGTTCGGAGCAGGACTACCGCTTGCTCAGCCGGGTTGTCTCGGCCCATTTTACGGAGTTCGCACTGCGGCGAAGTAACAGGAAATGTGGCACTGAAACTGAGAATTTATTTCCTTCGATCGGAGAAACTCCTGACGGCGAATCAAATTGCACTAATCTGAAATATACTCACTGACGGAACGATTTTGAATTAGGTTATTACAGTTAGTAGTAGTACACGATTAATCGAGAAAGATCACCAAACAATACCGGATTTTGCAGCCGGATCGGCGAGGCAGCAACGTCAGCGCTAGGCGGTTCCCGTGCAGCCGGATTTTTCAGCGATGGAGTTTAAAGCTTCGTCAATGGCGGCGTTGGGAGTGGCTGCGGACGACTATGAAGTGCGCAAGAAAGACTCGGATGGTGGGAAATTTTTGGAGGGAAGATTGAGGCTTGTGATATTTTACTTTTTTTGGTTTAAATATCATTGTTTGGCCATTAATCCAAATATCATTGTTTGGCCATTAATCCTTTTTGCAAATGACACCCTCGCAAAGTCCGATATTCTCCCAAAATATTGAATTTCCAACGACTCAGTATACATAATCAAATGTCCGTCTAAATAAAAATTTGTCTATTTTAAATATAATTTTACAACATTTCCTTAATTATAATAGTATTTTCATTAGCTCATCAATGTTGGGTCTTACAACTATGACTTCAGGGAAAATCACTGAAATAAAAAAGAAGAAATATGTATTTCTCAAAATGTGACTGGCCATTTTTGTGGACAAAAATATGAAAATGACGTTTGGGACATGCCTTTGATGTCAGACCACAAATGCAAGTCCCACTTACGATTTTTTTTTTAAAACAATTTAGTCTTCGGCGACACCGATCACTGATTTCTCCAGCGAAGGAAAAGGCCATTGGTTGCCTTCTCCTTCGCTGGAGAAATCGGTGACCAAATCGCTTGTTTCTCCAGCGAAGGAGAAAGCAACCAGTGAATTCATCGAAATGTTAACGACACGTAGTTCCTTGCCGTTGTCGAGCTCAAAAGAGATAATACAAATCAAATTGTTATATCATAGAATAATGTTATGGAGATTTTCCAGGCTCCCTAATGAGGCCGAGATCGATATAGTGAGGGAATTCTCATAGAAATAGATATCCCATAGATAAATGCAGTATGTAGAATTTAAAATTATGTTTATGACCTCAAAATTGATGGGCTTTAGATGAATGACCAAATAAAATAAGAATTGAATAGTTGAGAATTTTATTAAATTAAATTCAATAGTTAAAATTTAATTTGTGAATTATGATTTAGTCGATGGACCATTTTGAATATTTATTTAAAAATTAATGTGTTAGATTTGATATACTCTGGCTTAAAAAAATCTGTCAATTGACAAAAAAAAAAAAAAAAAAAAAAAAAAAAAGTCTGAAGTAGTGAATTTATTGGACATGCATAAATGATAAATGCATAATATATTCGCCGTCGCCATGTGCCTTAAATGTTTTAGCCATTTTATTTTTATTTCTAATTCTGATGCTTACTTTAGAAAATACGAACGAGGTCCACTAAAATACGCTGGTATCAGAAAATATCATTTCTCGAAGCCGCAGGAGGACCAGTCATCAGTAGAGTTTTTGCCCATTTTCTTGCATACCCAGAGAGATGGGAAGCTCGAGCGCTATAATCCCCAATCTCAATCTCAACAACCCTCGCTGTTTCAAATGCCTAAATTCAAAATTATCGAATCAAAGAGCTAGCTTGAAGCTGTTCCAAAGAAAACCCAGGTTGGCTTTCCCAAGCAGAAGGAGATTCAGCAGCCTAGTTTGCTCTGCTGTTGAAGATGCCACGGAGAAACAACAATCTGCTGTTGAAGATAGGCTTGGTGAGTGGATTAATGGGATGGGTATTTGTGGAATTTTTATATGGGTGTTTCTTGTTCTTGTTTTATATATTGGTAATGGTAATTTTGGGTTTGGTAAGTTCACTGTGTTGGTTTGATCTTGTGTTGAGTATTATCCTTGTTTTGCCCCTATTTGTGCACTTAATACTGTGTAGCTCTCACTGACAGAGTTTCAATTCTACTGATTTTGTGGCAAATTTTCAATTTGTTTAATCCAAGTTAAAAGATTGGGCAAGATTGTTTGCTTTCTGATTCTTGGGATTGTTCTGCTTGCTGTGTTTGTAACTTGGTAATCTAGGATACTAGGATAGTTCCTAAGGCAGAGGAGCTAAATGTTAGCTTGTTTGGGTACTCCTTAAAGATTTGATATTTTACACAGAGTTGATTATGGTGTTGAGCATCTTTTTCCATTCATACACCCATGAAAAGATAAGGGTGTTGGGGAGAAATCAATCCAAATTGGTTTGCATAAGTATGAACCTGCATTTGACCGACAGGTTGTGTTAAAGCCCAGAAATTTGAATAAACTTCTAAAATCCCAGGTTGTGTTGAGCATAAGTATGCTCCTAAAATCACTGCTTGTTTATGTGTTTTGGATTAGAAATTTACCCTCAAGGTCCTAAACATACTCTTGTTTATTAGTAATTTTGTGATTACAGAAGTCAATGTATCATTTGACACGGATTGATTCTTTCCCTCCAGATTCTAACCCTGCATTTATTTGCGATGCAGATGCCCCCGAAGAAAATATATTTCGGAATGATGAACCAGATCTGGAAGGGAGTGCTATTTATAATTTGCTTTATCCCAGTAAAGAGCTTCTCCCAGATGATAAAGAAATGAGTATTTTTGACCATTTAGAGGAGTTGCGGGAAAGACTCATTGTTTCAGTCTTGGCTGTTGGTGGTGCTATGGCGGGATGTTTTGCTATCTCAAAGGAACTTATATTGTTTCTCGAAGCTCCCGTTAGTGCACAGGGTGTTCGGTTTTTACAACTAGGTCCCGGTGAATTTTTCTTCACAACACTAAAGGTTAGAATGCGGTTTATGTAGTTTCTGCTTGCTTTTCAAGTCAACCGTTTAGTATGATAGGTTGTCTTCTTCGTTTTTTTCTCCCAGCACTCTATAAAGGCCCTGTTTGGTAAAATAGTTAGCCTATCAGCCAATTTTGGCTTGTTTGACCACTGTTAGCTGTTTGACTTTTAAACAACCAATACGAGTGTTTGATTAATTAGCTTTTTGTAACAGCTTAGTGCTCCAAAACACTAAAATTCAAAAAGCTGCTCAAAGCAGCTTTTTGAGAAAGTCATTTTGTATGTAATAAGCTATTAGCTAACAGCTAATTTACCAAACATCTTTCTACAATCAGTTAATGCTATCAACTAGTCAAACCCACTAACACAATCAGCTAACAGCTATTTACCAAATACCCCCAGAATCTTTCATTTTTCTGCTTTATTTTTCTCCTAGCATTCTCATATAGTCATATAGGTCCTTTTACCTTTCAGTTACATCTAATCTCTCCGACCAATTTAGACAAGAAAAGCGAGGGTCAACTACCAAATTAATATATTGAGTAGCTATTATGAATGACATTATTTTAAGGACATGGACTAAGAGCCACAGGAGTTGCATGTATATATAGTGCTTGTTGTATATATAGTGTATGGGAGCAACTCATACACTTCCATTTTTTAATATTTTTTGTGTATTAGTGTTTTATTTCCATTCTTTAAATATTCTCCATATTGTAATACAATGATTTACATGTTTGGTGCAGGTGTCGGGATATTGTGGCCTCCTTCTAGGAAGCCCCGTTATTCTCTATGAGATCATAGCCTTTGTTCTTCCAGGTTTAACAAAGGCAGAACGAAGATTCCTCGCACCAATTGTCCTAGGATCCTCCGTACTTTTCTATGCCGGAATTGTCTTCTCATATTATGTTCTCACTCCAGCAGCTTTAAATTTCTTTGTTAATTATGCGGAAGGGGCTGTGGAATCATTGTGGTCCATTGATCAATACTTTGAATTTGTGCTCGTGCTCATGTTCAGCACAGGACTATCTTTCCAGGTAAATCTTTGTTTACATTATGTGCACGTGATATGTAAACTTGTCATCTGCCCCAACTAAAATCTTTTAGAAGTGTGTGCGGATTTATTTTACCGAGTATTTATTATGTATCTATTTCATTGATTATGAATGCGATTGTTAAGAGTCCCACATTGAAAAATAAGAAAGGAACATATGGGTTTATAAAGGCAAATTATACCATGGACTAGGGTCTATCTTACATTTTGTACTTGCAGTTAACTATTATGGCCCTGTTTGGTAAAATAGTTAGCCTATCAGCCAAATTTTACTTATTTGACAACTATTAGCTGTTTGACTTGGTTAAACAACCAATATGAGTGTTTGATTAATTAGCTTTTTGTAACAACTTATTGCTCCAAAACACTAAAATTTAAAAAGCTGCTTTAAGCTGCTCAAAGAAGCTTTTTCGATCAGCTTTTTGAGAAAGTCATTTTGTATGTAATTAGCTATTTGTTATTTATCAAACATTTTTATACAATCAGCTAATGCTATCAACTAGTCAAACCCACTAACCCAATCAGCTAACAACTATTTACCAAACACCCCTTGTCTCTGTAATTGAATATATCGACTGCAAACACGTAACTTTTGGACCAGGTTCCACAATGCAAGATGGAACTTGGTCCATGGTATAAGAATCGGTGTATAAAGCTATGGCTTTCGTTTTAGGGGAGGGTCCAATATAATTGGATTTAGTCTTTTAGTGTGGTTATAGCTCAATTGAGGGACATTGGCTCAATCTTAGATTATATTAGTGATCAAAATTACCAATATTTTTCCACTTATAAAAGGTCAAGTTATATACATTGAGAGTGGATTTGTTTTCTTTGCAGGTTCCGGTTGTGCAGCTGCTTCTGGGGCAAACCGGTCTAGTATCTGGGGATCAAATGCTGTCGATTTGGAGATATGTGGTGGTAGGAGCCGTGGTTGCAGCTGCTGTGCTTACGCCATCGACAGACCCCCTCACTCAGGTTTTGCTTGCCGGCCCGCTTTTGGGGCTTTACTTGGGTGGAGCATGGGTGGTAAAGCTTTCTGGGAAATAGATGGAGCAAAAAATCTGTTCCAAGCAGCTCAGAGATGCCCAGGTCCTCAAATATGATCCGTGGATTTATGTAGCATAGAATGTATACTGGAGCATAGTATAGATAGCCTTTCATTTACTCTATTCTTGTCATGATATTTGTTTTTCCTTTCTTGTTTAATGTGAAAGTTTGTTACCACTGTAAAATAAAGAGTTTTCAAGGCCTCTGCAATATTGCTTTCATCATCTATTTTCTCAAAGGTGGCATTTAGATCAGGAATGGAATAACATCTCATGAGATAGGTTTATTCTGTTGCCTGGTTCCTTTATTATTTTGAGTATGGATACTCTTTTGATTTATGAGAGATTTATAGAAAAGTTCAGAGTGGATGGTGCACTCTGGGTGAAGTCTTGTTTTTAGTCGAGAAAGAACAACAAAGGTAAATTAATTTAAATTGCCTATAATTGATTGACTCAAATTAAACAGTCAATAATCAATCTTACAAGGAGTCAAACTTAAAATCTTATCAACCAGAGTATGAATACTCTTGTCATTTGATTATGGGAATGTTTGGTAAATAGCTACTGATTGTAGAAAGATGTTTGTTAAATTAACTGTTAGCTGATTACATGCAAAATAACGTTCTCAAAAATTTTATCAAAAAAACTGTTTTGAACAGCTTTTTGAATTTTAGCATTTTGGAACAATAAACTATTACAAAAAGCTAATTAATCAAACACTCATGCGCTGTTTAACCAAATCAAACAGCTAATAGTGGTAACTATGTTACCAAACATGGCCTATATATTTCTTTTTTAATATTTAACCAATCAAACATTCAAATATACCTTATGTAATTCTACAATCCAAGTATCCAATATTACGATAATTTGTGCTTGCCTCAAATTATACTATGAAAATGTTAAAGATCAAGGAATGGAACTTATACTATGATCACTACAAAGCTGTAACATTAACTGCAAAATCACATTTGTCACAACTGTATCAATTGCAAACAGACTAACTATATATATGCTGATAGGGATGCTGCCAATTTTTAACTCAATGCACAAAGCTATAAAAGAGAACCAAAATTCTTAATGTTGCACTCAAAACCTCTGGTGTGCATTCGTCCTAATTATTCTGTAGTCACAGCAAGGTTTTCCATATTCTGTGTGATTGAATCTGCAGAACCTAATTCAGATCCAAGATGTTTCAATGAAGTTCTCAAACCAGTGCTCGCTTTAAGGTAACCTTCTGTGGAGCCCTTGAGATTTTCCAACTCCGAGGTCATTTCATCTATGGTGGTCGAGATAACTTCCATAGCCTTCCTTATTGAGGAAATTTCTTGTGGGGGGTAAAGAGAAGCCCCGAGTTCATCGATCTGCAATCCAATTCCTTGACAGAACTTCAATAGTCTCTCTAGAGAATCTACAAAAGCAGTGGAATTTTCGGTGCTTTCCTGCTTGAGTAATCCTGTGATGGAGCGAATTAGTTCCTTCACAACTACGAGCGTTTCAGACACCACATTAGTAGATAATTGAGCGATTTTCATTTCTTCGGGCGACAGGTCATTGCCTAGATCACCGTCAAACAAATCATCACTATCGTCAGGTTTGCTTTCCGCTTCTATAGAATCTTCATCCCCCGATTCAGAAGATGCTGGCTTGAGTTCCTTTATTTCGCGAAGAACATCCTTCATTGAAACAGCAGTCTGTGTCATCGCTCGACCTATTGCTGTGATATTTGTGCCCGGTGTCTTCTTAAGAGCAGAACAAGCTTCCCAGACCGTGCCAACTAACTGCGGAATTGAAAGTTTTTGAGTTTTATTGCGAGATCCTGCACATCATTGGGTGAATGTTGGTTTTAAGAAACTTACTCCATAATCACATACAATTTTACCTAATATCTTGAATGAGAAGATAAAAATTTAATGGACCCTCCCAGAATACTAGAAATAGTTAGAGACTTTGGCATGCATAACATATAGAGCTATTTGTTTCTTGACTTGGTAGCATCTTTATAAGGGCGGCCCTTTGTTCCCAAGGAACCTCCCTCCTGGACTATAGTCAGATAATGTATTGAACAGACATCATATATATATATATATATATATATATATATATATATATATATATATATATATGCGCGCTTGTGTGTGTTCGTGTTCGCATCCTATAGCAAGTTCATACCATCAATCATCCATGCCATTATGAGAATTGAGAACATTATAGACATCAAAGTTTTTCCCAACCCATTCTTACATCAATCTCTTACTTAAAGATTCTATTACCAAGTTCATACCATCAACCATCCATGCCATTATGAGAATTGAGAACATTATAGACATCAAAGTTTTTCCCAACCCATTGTTACATCAACCTCTTACTTGAAGATTCTATATTACCGCATCTAGATTTAAAGATTCTTCTATATGAAATCTATAGATAACTACTCTATTGTCTTCTAACTGTTTTAGCCTAGCAAAGGTCATTGACTTTTCACCTTTTACTTGTCCGGCTAAGTAATTCAGTTTTAACCATACTATTAAGCTATTCTTAAACCTTAAGTCACTATTTGCAAAGGATGAAAATAAGGAATCTCATTATCATTTCAAAGAAATAAACATCAACACAAGGGAGACACCAATAGGCCATGTAATAGGACTAACCCAATAATAGTACAGAACATGCAAATTTCCATGGCAAGATAACTAATATAACAGAGGCATAAATTTAAAGGCTGAGAGTTCTGAAATTTGTGTTTTGTGTGTTTATGTTAGAGCATATATGCATGTCCTGACAGTGTCTGTATGCTTTTGTGTGTGTGTGTGTGTGTGTGTGTGTGTGTGTGTGAGAGAGAGAGAGAGAGAGAGAGAGAGAGATAGAGAGAGAGAGAGAGAGAGAGAGAGAGAGTACCATATGTGGCGACTGTATCTTTCATCAAGATGAAACTGCTATCAATAACTTGCTTTATGGATGCATGAATGCAAGCAGAAAGGGTAGGTCCAGCTCCGACTGTACTACCATGAGAGAGCAAAAGTAGCCCCTGTAGTGTACTAAAATATGCAGACATGTTCTCCTCGAGTACTTTAAGTTCAGGAGTTTCTCCAGTCCAAAGCATTCCAACTGGATGATAAAAACAAATAATTGCTATTTAAGCCTTAATGCAGAACGCAAATCCCTAATCAAACTAATATTCTCTGCTTAAGACACTCACCATATACCCCCTACCCAAAAGAACAAAGAATGTGACCTATTTTGTCAAGCTTGTAATTACTCCAAACCAGGTAGTTCCATGCATAAAAAATTGTTTCCAGTACTAAAGCTTTACATCAAGTCAAACCATATTCCTTGTAAAGCTTGTAAAAATTGTTTCCTAACATGCTCAATAAGCTCAACTAGCATGACAATTAGAACAATCCTGAAAACTATATGGATATCACAAAACAAGAAATATTCCAAAAATGAGGCCTAAATTTCAGTTCATTCATTAAACATTTGAAGGCATAATGAACTTAGGAGTTCGTATCCACATATTCAAAGCAAAGCACGAAACTTAGAAAACTGAAATCGCTATGACATCAAAGACAGTACCGTTGGTGGCTTGCTTGGATAGCTGCTCGCCCATTTGAATAACATCATTCCAGCTGATCCTTTCTAGAGAAGAAGCTGCGTTTTGATCCAATACCTGCAACACAATCACCGTACACAGATTTTTCTCACTCGCGACGAACTAAAACCAGGAGAAAGAGAAAAAAATTCAAAGCAACTAATCGATTGACTAAGTACCTGAAGAGTTTCGTGGATGGTGTTGAGATGCTCATTCAAAAGTCCGTTCAATTTCTCTCTCTCCGCTTTCCCCATCTCTCTCTCTCGCTCTCTCGTGAAGACTGGAGAGTGGCGAAGAAGAGCCTGGTTTCTGAGGGGAAACAAAAACGACGGCGTTCGTGAGCTCTTGTTTAGGGCAGAGAAGGTCGTGTCGTGCAATCACTTTTTAAACAAAACCCACCATGCTTGGATTCAACACTGAACCGTAGAGAAAAGATAATGGGGTGAGAGAGGCTCGAACTCTCGACCTCAGGATTACTCTAAGCTATGAGACCTACGCGCTAGCCAACTGCGCCACCACCCCTTTGTCAATTCTCAATTTATTATATGCTTTTATACCAATAGTTTTTCAAACACATCCCTATTTCCAACCTTTTTTCTTTATACCATTATTAACTTTGTACTAAACGATATGGAGTAAGCCAAACACCTTCTGCTCATATGATATGGAGTAAAGCAGAAAAATAAGTTTGGAGAAGTCAAACATCTTGACTATTACAATGTAGTATTTATTTATACATCTCAACCTACTGAAGCACAAAGAGTCAATGCCCCACACTAGGGTGCATTGACTCCTGTGACCCCACAAACGAGAAGTCTCAGACTCGTTTTCTCCTCAATTTCTATCCCACAGTCATTTTCCTTTACTCAAAACCCAAACATTATTTATTGCCCTAACTCCCAATTGCTTCTCTCTCCACTATTTACTTTCGGATTATCTCTTCATTCTTCATAAATCCTCTCTTCTTTCTTCTAATCACAATTTTAGTCCTTCAATTGTTTACTATTAATCTATTATATAATTTATAGTTCTTAATTTTAATTAATGTGATCTTAAATTCGCTTTACCATGTTATAAATCTAGTTCAAAGGAATCTAGTTCAAAGGTATAAAATACGACAAAATTTACTACACGATAAAACAATTGATGGCTTAATGGTCAAGACTAAACATGTAGCATTTGTTTGCTCGAGTAGTTTACTTCACTCCACCTCCAATAGAATGGCAATGGCTCAGCAAGGTGGAACAGAGTTGATATTGTTTCACATATAATTGTGGACCATGAATAAATGTTCATTTTTAATATACTGAAAGTTTCCTTAGTACACAAATAATGAACCTTCAAAAAATGAACATTCAATGTATTTAAAATTGTACTTTATGTCAGTGATTGGCCTTACAAGGGGGCAGGGGTCGGTCCATGGTATAACGATTGGTTACGTATGAATCCAAGGAACAAATAGTGCGCTGAACACCAAAGGCAGGCAGGCATCCCAATTAATGAAAACTGTCTTTACATCCTCTCAAATGCTCTATCAGGCCAGGGTGTAGAGGACCCTTGGGGTTGAGGATTCAACCTTTTGAAAGAAAAAAACTGCCAAAGTGCCAATCAAACAGGCCATGCCATGTCAATACATAAATTAAGTCATTTTCTGCGCTAATCAAAATTAAAAACTGATTAAATGCTAAAATCCGGAAAATATACCTCTTAAGTGAGATGATTTATGCCACAGCAGAAATCATAATTGCCACCAAACAACTGACAGCATTTTGTATCTTCAGGCTTTCACCACCAATGTACCTTACATAATCTTGTGTGATTGTATGAAGTATGTGATAGTATGTATTCCAACTATCCTTAGGAAAGATCTGGAATTGTACCACTCTTTAGATAGTTAGACAGAAAAGATAACTCTTCCTGAGGCCCCCGCCAACGTCTCCAGACTCTCTACCGTTGCCGTCAACCGCCACGTCCCGGTTCAGGAATTTTAACCCGAATTTGACTACCAAAGGCTACACCATGAATAGGTTAAATTTTGTAAAGGAGGATTAAAAGAACAGTTTTAAGGAGAATAACCAGCAAGGTGAGAAGAATAATGTGGCATTCATCTCAAACTAAAGTAATCATAGGAATTTTTTTTAAAGGTTAAATAGGCAATAAAGAAAAGGTAAAAAATACCTCTCCTTCAGACAAATCAATGGCTTTGATATTCTTCATCCCATATCGAGCTTAAACTTCTGAGTACATGCAGTATCTCCTTGATCCTTGAATGGGAAAAATCACCTATAGTAAACTTTTCGACAGATCCCTTGACTTCAATCAGACTCTGGCCAGCCTCCTTCTTCAGACCACTCCCCTTCAACAATTTTCTTGCCTCAGCAACACAACCCCACATCCCATCTGATGCATATAAATTAGACAGTAAAACATACGGTGAAGTGGAAACAGGCTCAAGCATGAGAAGCCTCTTAGCTAGCCGCTCCCCTATGGCAACATCCCCATGAAGCCGACATGCAGAAAGTAAGCAGCCTAGAACAACTGGATCATTCCCAAAAGGATACGCTTGCATATATTCTTCGGCAGTTTTCAGTCTCCCAGCTCGTCCCAGAAGATCAATTAGGCAAGAGAAGTGCTCAATATTAGGGGAGATCCCATGAATCTCTTTCATGGAAATGAAGAAAGATTGGCCCTCATCTACAAGCCCCGCATGATTGCAAGCAGTTAAAAGTCCTAGATATGTAACAGAATCTGGCGTCAGACCAAGTTTCTTCATCTCCTCAAACATTTTTATTACTTTTCTTCCATGACCATGGTTCGCAAATCCAGCGATGATGGTATTCCAAGAAACCAGATTACGACAATGCATTAGCTTAAAAACAGTATAAGCACGTTGCATACAACCACATTTAGCATACATGTTAACTAAGGCATTGCCAACAGCTACATCTACACTTGGCCTTCTTCTAATCAAATGAGCATGTAGCTCGCCACCTAGGTTTATTGAAGCCAAACCAGCAGATACAGAAAGAACACTGGCATAGGTGAAGTCATCAATCTTGCCAAAAAATTGTTTCACCATATCTCTAAAAATGCTTAAGGCTTTTTGGTGATCATCACAATTAGAACAGGCAGCAATCAGAGTGTTCCATGAAATAATATCTCTCTTACTTATCAATCTAAAAACCTTCTCTGCTTCGTCAATCAAATTCAACTTTGAGTACATTGTAATTAATATGTTTCCCATGAAAGCAGTTGAGTCAAGTTGTAGCTTGATTGTCTGGCCATGCAAACTCATCCCTAATCCCAAGTCCTCTGCAGTGCAGCAAGTTCCTAATAATCCCACAAAAGTGAACCGGTCTGGAATCAAACCTTGTCGGCACATAAGTTTGAACATCTCAAATGCTCTTTGTTTGTGATTATTTTCTACCAAACCAGTAATTATTGCATTAAAAGAAACAGCACTAGGTTCTGATGCACTAGTGAAAATTGATAAAGCATCATCACATTTGCTACATTTCATATACATTGACATTAGCGAGTTGGAAACAAAAGAGACAGAAGAGTAACCTAATTTGATAGACTTACAATGGATCTGTTGCCCATCTTTCAGCGCCAAGAGATTAGCACAGGAACTTAAACTGCTAGCAAGTATATATTCATTTGGCTCTAGATGCATCTGAGAAAAGAGGTTGATAGCCATCATATGCTTCCCAGCTTGATCATAACCAGAGATCATTGCTGACCACGTCACAAGATTTTTCTCAGACATTTCATCGAACACTTGGCTGGCAAATTTGATATTGCCACACTTAGCATACATGTTGAGGACATGATTGGAGGTGAAAACATCACACTGCAAGCCAGTCTTAATAGCAGCAGAATGAAGAGAAAGGCCACATCGGAGTGCCTTAGTCTTAGAGCAGTGATGCAAAAGTGAAGCAATAGTTTCTGGCACCATCTTCCACGTCTAGGGAATGAAGACACAATGGAATAGTTTGTGCCTTCTGCACTGTCCAATATCAGACATGGCAGGATTTCAAGTATGATTAAGAGAAACTCTAATGGTATAGCAGTAATTATCATCTAATTTCAGAGTAGAACTCATAAAGCTGGTGAATATGAGTTGAATCATATGTGTATAGCATTTCTGAGTTCAAGGCTTTATCACTCTTGTAAAGATATAAAAATTGATGCTTCTTTTGTTTCTTCAGTGATGAATTTCATCAAACACCTGCCGATTCGCAGCAGTAGTACGGTCGTTAGTCGCCCACTTCGCCCAGCTGCCGAGCTGGAGTATTTGTCGCCAATCGTAGCCACCAGCTGGAGTAATCGGAGACGATGAGTATCGAGAGAGAGGTACTGAAGACTCTTGCTCTTCCCTGACGAGTTTTTTTCTCTTGGCCTCGTTTGCAACTCGCGATCCTTTACCTTTGGGATCTAATTTTTCCCTCACTAGCCTTCTCTCTTGTTGGGGCGTGCTTAGCCTCGTCAGAGGTGGGTTTCCTTGGACGCTATGACTAGTAGTCACTTATTGTGCTTGCTTGAGTTACGCCCCCGCACTACTATTGTAGATTTGTAGCAACCATATCAGTTGGTTAATTCTTTTTCTCCCAAAAGTTTGAATCTCAACTTTAATGGCCACTCATGTTCCGGGCCGACAAAGCATGTTGGTCAATTTTTCAAATCGAAAATATAAATTAAATCAAAAGTCAGCGGTACACGTAACACCGAGACATACCCTTGATTACACCAGAAAATAAATCTAAAAAACAAAGTCTAGAACAATTTTAAACCAAGAGATTTAAAATATGCCTGAATGAAAGACAAGTAACATTGGAAATTCAAATAAACCATGACCAATAATGAAATGGAAAGTTTCCATGCAGAATCACCCAAAATCTTGCAAATACCAATTACGGCCACCGCCGAAAAAAGCAATTATTGAGTTTCCTTCCCGAGACCAACCGGACAAGTTACTGGACCTCCAGCTGGCGTGAAACGAGCAGAGAAGATCCTCGCCGGATGAACAAGCACTTCCAACCACAAAAACACCACCGGGAAGACGCCAAGAGCGATGAATAAACCAGAGACCAAATTCTCCACCATGTTGGTCAATTCTTGAGCTAACAGTTGGACACTTAGATTTTTAAGAAAAATTACCGTTTTAATCCTTGATTATAAGGTTAGTGTAATTTTTCATAAAATCTTTGAAAAGTCAATTCTTAATATATATTATAAATATAACAATTAAGAATAAGGTATGTGTAATTTTTGTTCTTGATTAACATGACATTACAATAGTGCCCCTAGCCCCCTACTTAGTCACCAAGGAGGTAAGGTGGCATATTTATTCCTCATTTTGACAGATGTCGTTTTATGTAAGTGTTACTGCATGAATTGTAATTTCTGAAAATGCCATACATGTCCTCCCCTAACAATTAACAAATGCTCTCTTCTCCAAACAATATTACTAACTCATCCATAAGGATAGTACAAATACACTACTTTGGTGACTAATAGGTCTATTCACAGCAAGCATATTCCATGAATCAAACATGTTGTGTTTAGTAAATAGTAAATGGGAAATTCACCATTTTTTTTAATGAATTTGGCCAACTTTAGTCAAAGCTTTAAAAGTGTTTGGGTGATTCAACTAAAAATCCAAAATGCTCGGACACTAGAAATCCATCATCCATGTCACCCATCTAATTCAGAGAATTAGAAAAACAACATTAACAGTACTTGACTCAGAGCTAATAATCATGATAAACTGATATACAAGGGATACTGGAGAGTGGGGAGCCATCTTATAATCAAAGGTAAATTGTTCAGGATTTGAAATTAAAAATGGAATGTTTACCAGACTTAACTTTCAATTAAAGAGAGACAGAAAAGTACACCAATAGCGGCACAACACAATATATAATAAGTAAAAGTCAACAAACTACAACGAAACAATTTAAATAAAACTGGGGCATACAGGTCCCTTGGAAAGACCAAGCCGCACTTCCATGCCGTGATGCATGCTAGCTGGGCGTAAGGTTTCAGATTCCTTTGGATCTGCACAAAGCATCAAGAAACATATTAGCGGAAAGAACTCGTGAAAATGCCTAAAGTACATGCCCTACAATGCATTTGGCCTTGTACTACTGATTGAAAAACCCCATAGTTGCAGTAGTCAGCTATGATGAACAACCAAATTCAGAGGAAGTTATTTAAAAAAAAAAAAAGAAGCTCGGCATAAGATCACATTTTGGACTACATGGGGTGGAGATTCAAATCATAGTCAATATATCAAATTCAGTATTACATTACACGCACACCTGTGACACAAGAAACCATATGCAGAATCAAGCATTGCTTTTATTTTTAAATAGAGCTTCAACTTCACAAAAGCTAAACACTTCAGAATAAAAATGCAAAATGAGATATTTTTCCAGTAAATGCATCTAGGATTCTAGGTGAAAGAAAAAAAAAATGCATCTCAATGTTTTATTAGTTATTTGCAGGAGCATGAAACTAAATTAACTCAAGGCCTTAGATTCAAAAATTGTATTCATTAAATAAAATGAAATTTCTTTTGTTACCATTTAGGTAGTCCTCAAAGCCAAAGTCCTCCAGAGCTCCTGTCATGGCTTCCAAGCCCAACATGGAAGAAGGGATTACTCCAGGAGGTCTCTGAAACCTGCAAACATTCAAAATCAGTGTTGAATTCTGCAAGACCCTTCTCGTTAAATACTACTTCTTTTTTTTGGAAAGCGAATGCTATCATTTAGGGTCATAAATATGCTGAAAGGAGGCATTTAATACACCTCATAGTCATTTAGGGCAAGATCAAGAAATAGTAGTCATTTAGGTTGGAAATAGGATTAATTTTATACCCTCCTAAGAGGTAAGAAAATATAATCTGAGCATCATACTGATGACATCTTAACATAATGTTTCAAACATGGAGAAATAGTATGACAAGTAAACACCATTCCAGGGGTAGTCTTGTGAAATTTCACCAATCACAGTTAGAGGTATACAAAGACTCCCAAATACCTGTCCAGCTGTTCATGATGAAGCCATTAACAACACAATGCTAAAATAAAACTGACAGCACCGAGGCCAACGGAACAAGCATGGAGCTGAACTAGAAGCAAACGACTAATTTACAGCCCAACTATGTAGACAAGCAACAGCCTATAGAGGGATCATGAATTTATAGTTCTGCCTTAAGATTAAAGTTCAAATCCACAGTTGCCTACTAGTAATGAAGGTGGATAGACATTATATACATTTAGAAGTCCAAATGCTTAATGTGTCAAGGCCTAACCATATATACATTTAGAAGTCCAAATGCTTAATGTGTCAAGGCCTAACCATAATCATGATTGAGCTATGTTACTGTACACTATTTCGTGTGCTGCCTGATTATTTTCAATAGACGAGTATCAAGTCAAAAAACTAGTGCATCAGTGCATGAATGAAAAGAAATATTTAATCTGATGCACAATTCTGTTTCTACATAGAAGTGCTATTTCCTAAATAATGACAATCAACTATGAACTATTACCTAACAGAAATGTGTGAACCACATAGGTGACATAGCTTATAAATCCTAAGAGTATCCATCAATGAAATTGAGCAGTTAGTGTGCTTTATGCATCCTGAATTGAATGGCATCAAGTTTCCAGGAAACAATAGAGTTAAAAACAACCAGTTTTCTTCAAAAGAAATTAGTGATCTCAAAGCTTCCAAGTACCAGCATACGCCTATAACCAAAACATACCCCAATCAGCACCTAATTAACATGTGAACAAACTATACCTAAATTGAAAAATAAAAAAGTTCAGAATCTAAAACTTACTAAACAAATATTTGCAATTAACGGAAAGCCCTAGCCGCAAACACTAAGAAACTCTGATTCAAAAAGCGCAAACCACAGAACAAAAGCAGGAAGCCGGGTAGCTCATAGAGTTATAGTAATCTAATGCAAACCTTGAAAGAATTCGGCGCTCCAACTCCATCTTCGTAGGTAAAGCCAAGCCGTAAGTGTTGGCAAGGATCTTCCTCTTCATCTCCTCTTGCCGCACCTTAGTCTGCTCAAAATACACACGAACACGATGAATCGGAGAGAAGTAGAGTTGACAGAAGAGAAATTCAGATGAAAAGAGAGTACATCTTCATAGGCGGATTCGAGAGGATGAGAGCCAACAATGTCGCTCTTGACACCGTGAAGCCCGAAGCGGAGGGCGTCGGCTCTCACTCCGCCGATTTCGTGTGGAATCGTCTTCGGTGCTTCCATTGATCTTTCTCTGTGTGAATTGTGATTGCTCTTCTTCTTCTTCTCTAGGTCTTGAAGACCGATCGATTCTCCCCCAAATAAAGTTGAAATCTTTGTGCACAAGAAAGGAGTCGGGGAAAACTGAAAATGGGCCGATAATAAATTTATAAATTTAGGGGTGAACAATGGCCCATTTGGCCCAAATCAATTTTTTGGGCAAATTATTCTGCGGACCCGGATCAACTTGCAAGTTGGACCCGAGTCTAAAGGTACACAATTTTTATATATTAAATGTTCATAATTTACATCCTAAATATTCACAATTTACATATTGAATGTTCACAATTTTATATACTAAACGTTCACAATTTACATACTGAATGTTCACAATTGAATTATGAACATTTAGTATATAAATTGTGTATTTTGACCCGAATCTACCTGGCAAGGTGGACCCGAGTCCATAGCTGTTGAATTTTTTTACCGAATAACAAGAGCTTGTTTGGATATTGAGTTTACTGGCATAGTGTGGGATGGGCTTTTACTCTTTTAGCCCCGATAGACATAATTTTTATATATCTTATTTCATAGTAAATACAATCTTATTGTATTTATCAACATTGTAAGTTGTAACAGAGTTAATAGTATTAAAAAAAAAATGAAGTATAATAAGAGTTAGTAGTACTAAAAAAATGAAGTATGATTTGTTAAATGATTGTCTATCAATTGATGTATATAGTGGATTCCACACAAGAATTTTAGGCCCACAAAACTCAAAATCTAAGCCAAGAATGCTGATATGTGAGGTCAGAAAAACGAAAGTCAACTCATATTTGTTTATTTGTTACGAGCACTTACTTCACTCATGAAATATTCAAGTTGTACAAAACGTTATGAAAGGTACTACTAAACTTCTCATTGTATAAATAGATAGGTACTACTAAACTTCTCATATACAAATAGATCGGTCAGCTACGGTCTTATTAATTATATTATTAGAGGTTTTCTCATTTTTTATCCCATGACTATAAGACAGGTTTTCTCATTTTTTATCCCATGACTATGAGATTATTTTTCACTTTTAGTCTCTGACTATTAATTTTTTTCACATTTGATATCATGACTTTTAAATTCTTATCATATTTGGCCCCTCCAATCTAATTTTTATCACTACTGACCAAAATTTAAACAAGGGATTTATCACGAAGGGCAAAATTGTCATTTGTAATCCATTGCCCAAGAAATTTAATTAAGAAAAACTTTAATAAAAATGACAATTTTACTCTTTAAAATATATACATTTTATATAATAATATTAAACTTAATATTACGAAAAATTGAACTAAAAATAACTTCAGTCAAGTCTCATTAACATAACCGGATACATAAAATGGGATGAATGGACTACTTTACAAACAAGTGTTTTAATAATAAAGAGTACTCCATAATATATAGAATTAAAAGACCTTTATGCATCATAAACCAATAGTCCAATACGATACAAAAATGTCGTCGATTCATAACTAAGAATTTCTCCTTGCCTTGGCCTTCTACATAGTATTTGATCACATGATTTTGCTGAGAGCCAAAAAAGGGTATGCAATTTGGACCTCTCTTTTACTTCATCTTATCCTGTCACAATTGTCTTTCTGCCCCCAAAAAGGACTCATTTCTAAGGGTTCCTCTTTCATACAAGTGCCTCATCAAGAGAAGGTAGTTTTCACTCAACAAGTCTCTCCCTTGCCCGGGCAGCCTGTCATATGAAAATGGGTTCGAAAAATATTAGATAAGGAGTAATAATCTAAAACACCGGAATATAACAACGTTGTTGGTAATGGGCAATGATGCAGAAGACGCTAGGCGCTAGTCGGTCACTCGGAGTCAACTCAGTCAAGTTGGGAGCCGTCTCAGCAGAGTTGGGCGCCGAGGGCGTCTAGTCAGCTTGCCGACTATAAGCCACCTAAGGCTGAAATCCCCTTGACATAGTGGCACCTAGCGCTTAATCGGCTGTTAGGCGGTCGCATAGGCCGATTTTTACAACACTGGTAATGGGGCGGGGCAAATGATGCAGAAGGCGCTAGGAATATAACAACGTTTATTGGTAATGGGCAATGATGCAGAAGGCGCTAGGCGCTAGTCGGTCACTCGGAGGCGACTCAGCCAAGTTGGGAGCCGACTCAGCAGAGTTGGGCACCGAGGGCGTCTAGTCAGCCTGCCAACTAAAAGCCACCTAGGGCTGAAATCCCCTTGACATAGTGGCACCTAGCGCTAAATCGGCTCTTAGGCGGCCGCTTAGGCCGATTTTTACAACACTGGTAATGGGGCGGGGCATATGATGCAGAAGGTGCTAGGCGCTAATCGGTCACTCGGAGGCGACTCAGCCAAGTTGGGAGCCGACTCAGCTGAGTTGGGTGCCGAGGGCGTCTAGTCAGCCTGCCGACTAAAAGCCACCTAGGGCTGAAATCCCCTTGACCTAGTGGCACCCAGTGCCTAATCGGCTCTTAGGCGGTGGCCGCTTAGGCCGATTTTTACAACACTGGTAATGGGGCGGGGCATATGTGGAGCCAAACAAATGTGGTAGGAGGTGGTCATAGTACCTGTTTGTTCCAGTTTGTGCAAATTGTTATTATGGATAGCAAAATTGTCTGCAGGGTGGCACCAGTTACAATCCCAATCCAAAGACCTTTTCCTCTCAAATTTAGCCAGAAAGCCAATGAGGCAGAAATGGGGATTCCACAAAGATAAAATGAAGCAAGATTGACATATGCTCCTATGTGCTGCCACCCACATCCCCTTGCAACACCTAAACAGATCATCACATCAATACATACACGAATTCGTATTTATTCCTTTCTCGGGATCAAAATGTAACAAGAACTGAACGCAGAAATGTTCTCAGTTGAGTTGAGTTCTTACCCGAAAGGGTCCCTTGCAAGCTATCGGTTATGACCGATAGACAAAGGAGAGGGGTCATATCCGCAACATAGTCCACCACTTCCTTCTCGTTGCTATAAACGTAGCCAAAAACATGCCGGCAAGCAAAGAGGGTTGCGGTTACTACAACTGTCTCCGCCACGGCAATGAACATCACAGAAACAACAGATAGTCGAGCCCCCTCCGGGTTTCCAGCTCCCAGCTCATTCGAAACTCTCGTGCTGCATATAAAACACGGGTTCTATTCATTGGTGCCACGTTTGGATAGAAAAGAATGGTTCCGGCTCCATTCAAAGAGGTTAATTATAGAATGAATATAATAGTAGTTATACCTTACAGCACCAGCAAGCCCGTATGGAATCGCATAAAGTGTGCCCACAGTGTTCAGGCTGTGCAAAAAACGCCACAACGAAATTAGTGATGCCTGATTTCTAGCAAATAAAATAGCTTTTTCATCTACTTTTCAAAAGCCGAGGAGGCGAAGATGAACATACCATACAGAGAGAACTGAAGTTTCTAGCTGAGGATTTGGTAGTAGACCGGACAGCAACACGAGTAGCTCAAATGACCACCACTCGAGACTACAAAAAAGGCAGAGAATTCAGAAAACATGTGTATAAGTCGACTATAGTTTCTAAAGTTCTTTAGGCAGTATTGTTTGTGCATATATTGAATAAATATTGAGCTAACTACAATGTGATGGTTCAATGGGAATTTTCAAAACTAAAATAATGTCATTAGTAATTTTAGGCAAACATTATCCTATGCGTGATAAAACTGCTCATATTGTTGGGCGGAGGCCTGAAGGGCCACGTCCAGCATCAGGTGGCTAGGGGGTTGTTGGGCGGAGGCCGGAAGGGCCGAGTCCAACACCCTGCCTTTCGAAATTGTGGCGTTGGGAAATAAAGTTGCGCCTTCACTACTGACTATAACTTTAGATGATCTAACAAGTGGTATCAAAGCATATGTTACAAGAGCGAAGAAGGAGGATGCATTACCAAATCATGACAGTAGATGGTATAGCGTATCTGAAGAACTCTTTCACTCCATGAAAAATTTCCCATGACAATGGCGAGCGCGTTCTGGCGCAAGCCGGGGAGAACTTCATGTACAAAGCGAGGATAATCACATTCAACCACATAGACACAGCAATAGCCACTGCAGCCCCGATATTACTTAACCCAGATTTGAAAACCAGCGCCCAACAGAGAGGTATATGGAAGCATATCGTAATGCACGAGCTTAGGAGCATGGGAAAGATCATGCTTTGCATCTGAAAGAATCGTACGAGAGGCTGCAGAGTTGAACAAGCAAATAGTGCCGGAACGAGCCACTTTAAGAACTTTCCCGCTTCTCGTGAAATCTGAGGATCTTGGCCTATGAAGACTAACACTTCTCCCATATATGTCCACAAGATTGCTAGCGGGATGCTAACAACAACAAGAGAGAAAATGCCAGTGTATGTTTGCGTCCCGAGTTTGTAGTACTGCTTGGCTCCATAGGCTTGCCCATTAAGCGTTTCCAGTGCACATGCCAGTCCTAACTGTTGAACAAAACCTCGTTAGTCATAAAACACATGTCCACAATATCATAATTACTAATACAAATTCACCAGATTCACATTCTCTAACTTGTTTTTTGTGTTGATGTAGTTCAATTGTAGCAACAATCAACTCTGACTTTTGCAAAAGAGGACAAGACAGAAAACAAAAAGGACAAGAAAAGCAAAAGTCATTTTTGCTAGCCAAAGGTATGTCACAATAGACTGATGGAGGATAAGTTTCCTAAATCGTGTGGCTAAAATTAGCATTTCATTGTCACAAAATTATTCAGGTCTATAATCAACCTCTTATATCTGCTATGTGAAAATTTATGGTTCTCTAATTCTAGGAAGAGTTAAAACCATAGCCGCCAAAGGTGTGCCCTGGACCAAGAAGCCCCTATAACCACTACGCAAAGGTGTGCACGAAGTAAATCCCGACCGCTCAAACAAAAAAGGCCCTACCACTACCCAAAGGTACACACGGGTAACTAGCTTAGTTGGCATGAGTGCACTCTCATCCCCTAAGAGAGGTCGGGAGTGCGCTCTCGTCCCCTAAGAGAGGTCGGGAGTGCGCTCTCGTCCCCTAAGAGAGGTCGGGAGTGCGCTCTCGTCCCCTAAGAGAGGTCGGGAGTGCGCTCTCGTCCCCTAAGAGAGGTCGGGAGTGCGCTCTCGTCCCCTAAGAGAGGTCGGGAGTGCGCTCTCGTCCCCTAAGAGAGGTCGGGAGTGCGCTCTCGTCCCCTAAGAGAGGTCGGGAGTTCACTCTCGTCCCCTAAGAGAGGTCGGGAGTTCACTCTCGTCCCCTAAGAGAGGTCGGGAGTTCGAACCCCGTACCCCTAAGAGAGGTCGGGAGTTTGAACCCCGTACCCCTAAGAGAGGTCGGGAGTTCGAACCCTGTACGGAAAAAAGCAAAAGCAATCTGGCAAGCACTTTGTCCCTTAATTAGGCCAGGGCGGTGGGAACGAGGATTAGTTTGAGTATAAGGATTAGTTTGAGTATGGTACGGGCTTAAAGTCGCCCCTCCTACCGTTAGGTCTGCCCAGGACAACAACCAAAAAAGGTACAAACGGGTAAATTCCCGTCTGGTTCAAACTAAGAAGACCAAATAGGAATCGAACTTGTAACCTTGTGTTACCCAGCCTGACCAACTTGGCTAGGGTTAACCAATGGATTTCATTTTCCATTTGGGTTTTTAGTGAGGTTGCTGGGCTTGAACTACAATAGAAAGGAACATACATATATTCAACAACATATATCTACCAAATAATATCAACAATCCCATCAAGAATTGAGTGAAATTAGAAAGTGTATGTACTACTCACAAGAAAACTGAACCCAGTGACACCAGCAATAGAGATGGCTATGGAGGTACTAGACAGAGAGAGCTCACCCAAGTGCCCAACCATCATAACTGAGATAACCTGTAACAGATACTGTGACAAATTCACAGCCACCATTGGCCCTGCCAAATACCCTAACCTCTTCACCTCCACCCAAACCGCCGCCCGCCGCCGCCTCTCGCCGCCGCCACAGCTCTCTTCCTCTATCTTCTTCAGCAGCAACCCCTCCTCCATGATTATTTCTCCTCTCCTCAACCAGAACAGTCTCTGGGTACTATTTTGCTTTTCTTGGGTATTAATCAATCTTAACTAAGCCCTTTCCGTGAATATTAAAACTCGCAATTCACAAATGAGAACAATGGTGATTGAGTGTTTGTTTTTCATAACAGAATATGAGATGGTGTTGGCCTGTTTTATAGACTGAGGTTTTTGTCTGGAAAACGGCACCTTTAAACCCATTTAAAATAAAATAATATATATATATATTTGATACAATTAGACCATTGAATACTATTGCATACATTTGGAGTGTTCAGTGGTCTAATTGCACGTTCACACGTTTTTTGAGTGTTTAGTGGTCTAATTACATTTTTTTTTTTGTTCTGTGGGCCTAATTGTATTTTCAGGTTACGTTAAGTGGGTAATTTGAACCTTATTCCTAAATTTTAATTATAGAATAGTTAATCCTTGGGACTCATCCAAAGGTCAAGGGTCCGATCGTTAACTTTGGGAATAGAGCATCATTAAATTTTGAGGCCAACTGTTTCATCTAAAAGAAGTGCCTACAATTCAGCAAGAAAATTAGTCACTGTGTTGGATGGTGGAAATTCTGAGTACACCCAACAAAAGAATAATTAATCTTTTTAACGTTCATTTTCCAAAAAAAATCTTTTTAACGTTCTAAATGGGATTTGGGAATATAAAATAGGTTATATAGTAATTATGTGTATTGATAATTTATGCGGAGTATATTTTAATTTGTCATTACACATGGTGAGATATTTTTATATTTATATTGTTTCCTTTTTAGTTTTTTCCATTTATGAAAAAAGTTGATAATGAATTTTAAAATATCAATGAGATAAAACACTAGTATGTATGTATGTGAGGGCGAATATACTCAAGAGGGTGTTTCTATTTAGTTCGGGTCAGGGTCAACGGGTTAATGTCAACCCGCCAACCCTTGACCCTATAAGTAGGGCCTTAGCCCTCCAAGTGGGGTTCCTTCCCTTCACTTTCACTAGCTCTACTCTCTCCCTATACACTCGTTCATCTCCCTCCTCTCTACCAACATAGAAGGAATAAAATAACTTCTCTTGTCTTCATTGTTCATACATGCATCCTACGTACACGAAAATTATCCGTATCAGTATGTATATAGGGGAGTGTTCATGTGCGAGTATAACTTTTCGTGCAGTTGATGTACCTTAAGCATTAAAATGACGCACTGTAAGTACACAAGCCACGCACCTTAAGAAAATAAACAAAGCACCTTAAGACCACAAACCACACACCTTAAGTACACAAACCACGCACCTTTAGCACACAAGCGAAGCATATTAAGAACACAAACCACGCAACTAAGGTTTTTAAATGGTTTACCTTAAGTTTCACACAACTGACGCACCGTAAGCATACAAATCATGCAACTTAAGAAGGAAAACAACGCACCTTAAGTTTCAACAACTACTCACATTAAGCACAAAACTCATGCACCTTAATCACAAAACCCACACACATTAAACGCAAAAATCACAAACCTTAAGTTTTAACAAATACTCACATTAAGCACACAACCCATGCACTTTAAGCACAAACACACGCATCTTAGGTACAAAATCTACGCACATTAAGCACAAAATTCATGCACATTAAGCACAAAAATCACGCACCTAATTTGACCTAGATGCAAAAATTACTAAATTGCCATCACGTTTTTTTTTTTTTTTTTTTTAATGTTGGTACTCATGTACGTTGATTTAAACATGATCAATGACTCAGATTTAATCACACAACAACACCTGGGCACACCAACCGCATTTGAACCTAATTACATATATACACTCTGAACTTGGAATCGTTATATTATATACTTGGGCAACAAGTTAATATGAATTCAATAATGAAGGCTTTAGAATAATAGAAAGAGGACAAACTTTTATCAAAGTTTGCACACTCTAATGGCGTCGTTCAATTATTGTATTTTTTATGCGTATATTCGTTGTAAATTGTAATATTTGTCCTGTGAGAAAGACGATTTTGGAAGTTTGCAGCATTTGTGGGAACCGCCTTTCAAAAAATTAAAAAACAAATAAGGTTCAAATTGATCACTGAAGATAACTTGAAAACGTAATTAGACTACTGAACAAAAAAAAATGTAATTAAATTACTGAATACTCAAAAAACGTATAATTAGATCACTAAACACTCCAAATATATACAATTTCATCGAATAGCAGATTAACATCAATTTCAACACGTTATTTGTTTACGTGACAATTGAGTTAACATTTTTAATAATAAATTTTAAAAAAATTAAAATAAAATGACGAGGTGGCCGACAACCACCCATCGTTTTCAAAAAATTTGTTAATAAACAAATTTATTATTAAATTTATTAAAAAATATTTTAAAATTAATAAAAAAGTTAACTCAGCTACTAAGTAAATATGTAATCAGCTATCAGATAAAATTATATATATTTGAAGTGTTAGTGACCTAATTATACTTTTTTTTCTATTAAGTAACCTAATTACATTTTCGGGTTATGTTTAGTGGACAATTTGGACATTATTTCACCCGGAACCATAAAAAGATTGTGAAGAGACGATAATAATTTCATTCCTATGAGTCTGACGACACATGGTTGACTCACAAAATGGAAGGAGAAGAGAATGACGATGAGCTTCAATCATGTCTGATCGTCGTCTCAAATGAAGAAAGAGGGTGGTGTAGTTATGGAGGAGAAGCGATGATTCAAGAAGCAAAGACGCAATTGGGCCTAGCGCTTCCCCTCATAGCAGTCAACATATTGCAGTATTGCCTGCAAGTTATATCGGTAATGTTCGTCGGCCATCTCGGCGACGGCGAGCTCCCGCTCTCCGGCGCTTCCATGGCCACTTCCTTTGCCGCCGTCACCGGATTCAGCGTTCTGGTAAATATAAATGCAAATGATAGAATCCAATTATTTAGTCTAATTGCACATTTTTAACTCTTCATAGTGGTTTAATTGCATTATTTGAAACTTTTTTTTTTTTTCATAAATATAAATATGCAGTCTAAATATAGCTTTTACCTGCTTCAATTTTGAGTAGTCAAGATTTCAGTTGGTTATGAATGGTAGTTAGGAATGGGAAGTGCACTGGAAACACTATGTGGGCAAGCGTATGGAGCCAATGAACACCACATGCTCGGCGTTTTTACCCAAAGAGCCATCATAGTTCTTCTTGCCTTGGCCACTCTCCTTGCATTTATCTGGCTCTACACCGCCGCAATACTGGTTGCTCTTGGCCAGGATCACGATATCGCTCTCGAAGCAGGGAAGTATAATCGGTGGATGATTCCGGGCATTTTCGCATACGCCATCCTCCAGTGCCTCAACAGGTTCTTGCAGACACAAAACATAGTTATTCCCATGATGCTCAGCTCTGGGTTCGCAGCTCTTTTCCACGTTTTGGTGTGTTGGCTTCTGGTCTTTGGGATTGGACTGGGAAGCAGAGGTGCTGCATTGGCAAATTCCATCTCGTATTGGGTTAATGTGGCTTTGATGGGGTTGTTTATCAAGTTTTCTTCTTCTTGCTCGAAAACATGGACTGGGTTTTCGAGAGAGGCTTTCGGTGGCATTCTCAGTTTTCTTAAGCTTGCTATTCCTTCTGCAATCATGATCTGGTAAGTTGAAGTTTAGCTTTACACTGCAGTTGGCACTTTTTTTGAGTCACAGATACAAACCTGCAGCCACTACAGACCGAAAGTGTGCACGTGTTAGGATCAAGCGCTTAACACTACACCAAAAGTAGTTATAGCTAGTAGCGAATGCGTGGTAACATTATTTCCTTATACATGCTTAGTAGCCAGTGCTACATTTTCGACAGACATGGTGCTGGACTTGACTCTTCAGGCTTCCACCCAACAATCCCCTAGTCACTGTTGGACTTGGCTCTTGAGGCCTTTGCCCAACAGCACGGGTAAACCCCGCTTGTGATCCTAGCATGCAAAGGGAGGTGAGGTAAACCAGTATGGGTTGCGCATAACTTACTGGCTCAAACCAAGAAGGCGAATAAACCGCTATTGCTAGGAATCAAACTTGTAATCTTGTGGTTACCAGGTCAACGGCCTGACCAACTTGGTTGGGGTTGCTGCTGCAGTTGGCACTTTTAAATTCTTTAGATGAACATAACATAGCTACTGGAATTGGTTGGGATCTATGGTTGATCTGATAAAAACATTTTTGCATCTTTATGTCCTTTGATAGCCTGTTATTTGATGGTTTCTAATGTGCAGTTTTGAGTATTGGTCATTCGAGATGGTGGTTCTTTTATCTGGCCTTCTTCCTAACCCAAAATTAGAAACATCAGTACTGTCAATAAGGTCTGCATTTTAGATTTTTAGTAATGTTCAAGATTAGGATTATCTGGTCTCATTTCTTGTGTGTAATGCCATCACTTCTGCATAAATTGTTACGAAATTTTACAGCCTGAACACTTGCTGGACAGTATACATGATATCAGTTGGTCTTGGTGGTGCTATAAGGTAAAAACCAATCAAGACTATATGTTTTGCTTTCCCTTTGGCTTTTACCTAGGAATTGTTTCTTTAACTGTTTTCTTCTTAGCACAAGGGTGTCGAATGAATTGGGGGCAGGGCGACCACAGGGGGCACGCTTAGCCCTATGTGTAGTTGTGATAGTGGCAATCTCAGTGGGAGCAGTAATTGCGGCAGCAACAATTCTGGTTCGCCATGTCTGGGGAAAGCTATACTGCAATGAAGAAGAAGTGATAAACTATGTTGCCAAGATCTTGCCTTTGCTTGCACTGTCTGATTTCTTGGATGGTTTTCAGTGTGTGATCTCAGGTACCAAACTGCGAAATTCCTGTGTCTGTTCAGTAACATGTGAACATTTTCCGGGCCTGTAACAGTCTGCCTGCTGCCTCGAGCCTTTCAGGAGCTGCGAGGGGGTGTGGATGGCAGAACTTGTGTGCATTCATCAACCTCGGGGCTTACTACGTTGTGGGGTTGCCATCTAGTGTTCTCTTTGCATTCGTGTTTCACATTGGCGGAATGGTAAGCACGATCCTAACTCTTCTGTTCTTGCATATACTGCACAAGTTCTGCGTTTTGCCTAAAGTTGTTAATCTGATAGGGGCTGTGGATGGGGATCATCTGTGCTCTTTTAGTACAGAATGTGGCACTCATAGCTATCAATTTATTCACTGACTGGGATAAGGAGGTGAGTGATTTTTCTCCGCTATTATAGAAACAGGATTCTACGTCGCCTAATACACACCGGTTTTACCTATTTGGTCAATTGTTTTCGGTCATGTCAACCTTTTTGTTAGGCTGTCTGAGTACTTGTCTGAGACATTTCACTCCGACAGAGCATCTGGGATGATGTAAATCATGGTAACTCAGTTGGACACAGAGGCTAGACCTTTGCTTACTGCGCACAAGGAGTCCCCTCACTTTGAGAGGTTTCTCGCATACTGCCGCTAGTGAGTCTCGATCTCGTGTCATTGTTTCCAAACTTTATCCCTGTGACCAATTGAGCTGCCAATGCGGGCCACTGCTATGTTTTCATCACTGACAAATGACAATATGCATGACAGTGGTTTTGCTTCCTATTTCCTAAGATTGTTTGGTATATTTACTCAATTTTGTGTTTTCATAATAGTTTGCTGATCTTTATACTATTGTTCACCCTTTAGGCCAGAACAGCCATAAGTAGAGTTAATGAATCCAGACTTGTGAATGACACAGCAGAATGAGGAATGAGGAGGGAAAATGAGGTTGCAGCCAGACAAGTTATTCGGGTAGTTAGCTTGGTACTAGGTCTAACTTCGACTCTCCGCAGGAGTTGGTTGTCTATTGGCCTTCTTAGTTTGAGTTGGTCAACTAAAACTTGTCCAAGGGGTGTGGCGAAGTTAGTGGAACATGATTTTCGTACCTAAGAGGGTCAATCTCGTCGCACAGTAATCCTATAATGTGATTCCCACTTAAAAATGGGAAGTTGTCAACTAAAGTGTCACACCTTTACAATATTGTAAAAATGTTCTTATCTCTTTTATATTATAGTTTTTTTTTTTTTTTTTTTTTTTTTTTTTTTTTTGTATATGTACACAATTTATTTATTTTTATACATTTGAGAGAAATAGAGAGGAATATGAGACTTTCTTTATACAAAATTTAAACTTATGCTGCTAAATTACCAGATTATTGACCTTGCTCACTCTACAAGAATTAGTATGTTTCCCTGCCAATTGATATTGGTCATTAAGCTTTACATGTATGTTAATGTTTGGTCATGCCACATCAAGATTATAATTATAGATCAAATAAGCTCACATTATGTGTTAACATGGTGTGGTATATGGCATGTGTAAAGTGGTGAGTGTGAGAGCATGAAATGTTGTTGGTGTTGAGTCTCCATGTTAATTTGATTTGATTTATCTCCTCACGATATGAGGGCGGGCAGGTTCATGAGGTTCATAATATAGTATGGTGAAGTTGAAAAACTTTTGTTATTGAAAAAAAAAAAGAAGAACAAGGCTCAAATAGGTTAACAAATTACACACGATAGAATTGAATCCCTAAACTAACACATTTCATGTTGTTCGTTCAAACCATAATTTACTGTTTCTAACCGGTTATCCAATTTTAAAATAAAATAATTATTTACAAATATATTTAAAAAAAAAAAAACTTCGTCTTTGCCGGAGCCGAAGATATCTTCTTCGTCTCCATGGCTAGAGGCGAAGAGTCTCTTCGTCTCCGGCTATGGATACGAAGGGACCTCAGTCTATGCCCAGAGACGAATAAAGTATCTTCAAGTATATTCGTCTTCGTGGCAGGGGACGAAGTTGTTTTCTATTTAATTTAAAACAATTATTTTATTTAAAATTAGGGCATGTTTGATTCATGGGTTTATACACTAAGAATGTGAATCAAAGTCATAGTTAGAGTGTGTTTGGTTCGGAATGAGAATCAAATACTTGGTAATGGTAATAGGTTTTTGTGAAATTGAATGATTACCAATATTGATGTTTGGTTGTGTATGACTCTACAATGTGAATAAATGTTTAAAAAATACAAAAATAGAAAATAAAGGCAATCGATCATAATATATTGACATCCAAAGTAACAATATGAACAAAAAAATCAAAACAAAAATCTAAAAATACTAATCCAAACTTGAAAATTAGATTACCAAGATAGAATGATACCCATTTTAATTAGAGATTGTAATTTTTTAATTGAATGTGTAATTAAAACTTATAATTGTGCTTTAAAAAGTTGTCAACCAAATACTAACTATGATTTTGATTATAATTCTTAATGTTTAAACCAATAAACCAAACACACCCTGAATCTTACACAAAATGTACATTAAAACTAGAGTGTGATAAAAAAAAAAAATGTAAAAGTTGTTAGAAAATGAGGATTGGAGTGAAGAGATTTAAACTTATGTTTATTAATTGAAAATGAGTATAATTTATAACAAAATTATACGGAGTATAAAGTTGATTTTTTTGTTTTTAGAATTCAAAATATTTGTACCTAAGTTAATAATTGGAAATTTAATATTAGTTATTTTATTAATTGATTAAGAGGAAGTAATTTATTACAGTAATAATGTAGTAATTACAATTGTAGTTAAATTATGCAAAAAGAAGAACCAAACGCGGCACATTTAGCTCTCTTCTCTCTAGATAAACAACAGTCCTCTCTCATTCACTCCATAACCCTAGCACTCATTTTATTCTCCACTCCCCCCTGTAGACCAAACCCTAACCAATCAATGGCGTCTCGGAGGCTTATAGCCTCGCTTCTCCGATCATCCGCCTCTCGCGGGGGCTCAATTTCCAGATCCGCCGTCGGAAACTCTCTGACCAGGCCGGCTCCACGCGCCAACCCCGCGGGCTTTCTCCTGAACCGTGCCGTTCGTTACGCTACCTCCGCTGCGTCCCCGGCCGAGAAGCCATCGGTCAAGCCTCCGTCTGGAAGTGAGCCGACGGGGAAGATCACCGATGAGTTCACTGGTGCCGGATCGATCGGGAGCGTCTGCCAGGTTATTGGAGCCGTCGTGGACGTCAGATTCGACGAGGGACTGCCTCCGATCCTCACCGCTCTTGAGGTGCTCGACAACCAAATCAGGCTCGTGCTCGAGGTCGCGCAGCACTTGGGTGAGAACATGGTGAGGACAATTGCTATGGATGGTACTGAAGGGCTTGTCCGTGGTCAACGCGTTCTCAACACCGGCTCTCCTATCACTGTGAGTTATCTGAAGCTGTTCCCTCTTTTCGTTATTTCCAAAGGTCATTTGTTTGTTGTCTCTGTTTGATTTTATTTTAAAATAATTTTCATCCTTCAACATAATAAGGATATTTGGGTTTTACAATGTTAAGGCCTTCTACTATTCAAATTGTTCTAGATCTTGAATTCGAATAATTGATCCATTCAAAGATCACATTTCTTTGTCATATATAAATAATTATTTAAATCGGAGAATTTGGGAGTTCGATCTCGAGTTTGCTTATCTCATGTGGTTGAAACATTGATCATTTGTCTTATACTGATGCGAGAATTTCGGACTTTCCAGAAATAGAACGTAGGAGGAAACATGGACTTGAGAACTTTAACGGAGTGTTTAATGTCTTGTATTTTGAGTTTACTTTTGTAACTTACCACAAATTTTAAGGTTGCTAATATCCCTTTTTGTTATCATGGTGGCATGCATTTGCATTTCATTATGCTTTCTGATTGATGGTAATTGTTTCTTCCAATTGCAGGTTCCTGTTGGTAGGGCCACCCTTGGTCGTATCATCAATGTCATTGGAGAGGCCATTGATGAGAAAGGCCCACTCAGTAAGTCTCAGATTGCTTTTGGAAAATGTATACTGCTATTAATCAACAGAATTATTTTTAAGATCTGGGACCTGATGTTCATTTGTAAAAAATTGTCGCAGCAACCGATCACTATTTGCCCATTCATCGTGAGGCACCTGCTTTTGTAGAGCAAGCTACTGAGCAACAAATTCTTGTAACTGGAATCAAGGTATTCTGTCTAATTGATTATTATTTATGTACTGTTTCTCTTTTCACCATCACCCCTCCTGAAAAAGTGTATACTTTATTTATTTTTTTGTATAGAATATAATTTGTAAATTTTTCATGTCTTTACCATGTGCACTATGTTGTTTTCTTTGTTCAGGTTGTCGATCTTCTTGCACCATATCAAAGGGGAGGAAAAATTGGGCTTTTTGGTGGTGCAGGAGTCGGGAAGACTGTGCTTATTATGGAACTGATTAACAACGTTGCCAAAGCTCATGGTTAGTGTTGACATTTTATTTCATTCCTTTTAAGGTCCCCGTAATGTGTCGATTCTGATTTACAACTGGTTTTTTTACTTCACTGTCAGGTGGTTTCTCTGTCTTCGCTGGTGTTGGTGAGCGTACCAGAGAGGGTAATGATTTGTACAGAGAAATGGTTGAGAGTGGTGTCATTAAGCTGGGTGATAAGCAAGTTAGTATCCTATTACTGTTATCTGACATGACTATACCTATACTCCAATGTATTACTTTTCAGATTTGCTGATTTTTCATCTTACCATAAAAATGTCAGAGTGAGAGTAAGTGTGCTCTTGTATACGGTCAAATGAATGAGCCCCCTGGTGCTCGTGCCCGTGTTGGACTTACTGGACTAACTGTCGCCGAGCACTTTAGAGATGCTGAGGGTCAGGATGTGCTTCTCTTTATCGACAACATTTTCAGGTTTACCCAGGTTGGTTTCTGAAAATATCTCTAGACTAATTTTGTTACTAGTTCTTGTATGCAATTAGTTATTTATTATTTGTATTTTTTTAAATATTACAGGCCAACTCTGAAGTCTCTGCTTTGCTTGGGCGTATCCCATCTGCTGTCGGATATCAACCAACTTTGGCTACCGATCTTGGAGGCCTTCAAGAACGTATCACGACCACTAAGAAAGGTTCCATTACATCTGTGCAAGCTATTTATGTGCCTGCTGATGACTTGACTGATCCTGCTCCTGCAACAACCTTTGCTCACTTGGATGCCACAACTGTGTTGTCCCGTCAGGTAATAATAATATACCTATTTTCTTAAGTCTTTTTCTCCTATGCAGGGAAATATAATCTTCTTTTTGCTCCCAATGATTGTTCCTACTGTAATTAAAATTCTCTGGTGGCTCTAGATCTCCGAGCTTGGTATTTATCCTGCTGTCGATCCCCTTGATTCTACATCTAGAATGCTTTCTCCCCACATTTTGGGAGAGGACCACTACAATACTGCTCGTGGGGTACAGAAAGTTCTTCAAAACTACAAGAATCTTCAAGATATTATTGCTATCTTGGGTATGGATGAGCTCAGTGAAGATGACAAGTTGACTGTTGCCCGTGCCCGTAAAATTCAAAGGTTCCTTAGCCAGCCTTTCCATGTTGCTGAAGTGTTCACGGGTGCCCCTGGAAAGTATGTCGAGCTGAAGGAGAGCATTGCCAGCTTCCAGGTAACTTTGTTCTCTTTAATGATTATTTGCCTTAACCAATTTATTTATAGATTATTAGTGATAATTTTCAGATATCAAAGTGCTGTTAAACTCCTTATTGCCCTGCCATGTGTTTCTTATATAACCTGCCAAAGGTGTCCTGTGCTTGTACCACTATGTGTTTGTTTGATTCATATAGACTGCCCATGTATGAAAAACATTAAAATGCATTCCCCAAGTGTAACAACCTTAAAAATGCCACCTCATATTTTTTGACATTTAAAATGATGTCATTTATCTGATTGCTACTTTTGCTAACCATATTCAATCCATCAATAACTTTGCGGAGATGTGATGCTGATGTTTATGAATTGTCCATATGCAACAGGGCGTACTGGATGGCAAATATGATGACCTTTCTGAACAGTCGTTTTACATGGTTGGTGGAATTGATGAGGTCATTGCCAAGGCAGAGAAGATTGCCAAGGAGTCTGCTGCCTAGATAGATTAAAACTTCCAGGGATTTGTTTTTGTGCTTTGGTTGGTTGATAATCACGAGAATAATTCTGTGACAATGCCAAACTTCA